CTCTCTCTGTCTCTCTGCTGTATGATTGGCCAATTCGGTTGAATCCGATATAGGTAGATTATTATATAGGTAAGTATAGGTAAAGCAGGTATTCTCGGTGCAATCCATTTCATGCGGCTTCCGGGTTCTCCAGCCCTTGAGGTCTGCATGCAATGCCCCGGCGGCGGCTCACGTGATGGGTAACCTCGATGATCGCCTGGGCCGACTAAACTTTGCAATCATCTGGAATTTCGTCATCCACTTTTCCTCACGGAGAATTCTCGTTCGTCAAATTGTACTTGATAAAAAATCATACCGCGTCGAAGTCACGACACATACAGGTGGAAATGTTGCTACAGATATCCTCGATTTCCTCAAACCAAACGTCGTCATAATCGATTTGTACAGACCATGGTACTTTACAAAATAGAGTCTCTACAGCCAGACTGACCGAGTCCGTGAACCAGTTTTTAGATATTGTCGTGGAACCAGATGGGCCCTTGGTACAATCCATCGTATCGGTTGACCTGTTTACACGACTACTTGTGTACTTATTTACTGATCTATCTATATATATCTTCTCAGATCCCCAGACACACGTGACCCAGAGCCAGCCAGCCGGACTGGTGATGTCAACAACATCGCCGCTAATTAAGCGGGTTGGAGGTGCCCGTCTACCGGTAGTTTGATTCCAACTCCAAAACAAACCGGATAGATAAACATAATCAGCCAGCCTGCTTCTTCACGCCTCTTCCTCCCTCTCTGAACCAATCCATTGTGCGCCATTTCATCTATCCACAGCTCATCCACCTCATCATCCACATCATCCTCAATCCTCACTTCCCCCTTACCCAAAACCACAGCTTCCAAACCACCCCCCCAACAATTTCCAAAAATGGCCCCCTCCCTCTTCCTCCTCCGCCCCCTCCTCCGGCCCCAAACCCTCGGTCTCGGCCTCGGCCTAGCAACCTACGTCTCCTACCACGCTCTGATCACCCCGCATCGACCCATCCGTCTCGACACGACGCCAATCCTATCGACCGATTCCTACGCGCGCAACGCGAAGGTGCCGGTCTTGAAGGGAGGGCGCCGGCTGAACGAGAGGGCTGTGAGGCAGGTTAGTGCGGGAAGTATTATCGGTATGTACTGTACCACCTGCCCTTTGGCCTATTGCAATTATGTGCATCTACGTAGTTGGATTTGTACTTGTAGGAAGATGGATACCAAAGACGATGAGTGAGTTGAGGAGAATGAGAAGGGGCTAACGGAGATCAACAGGTTTGGTCGCCGGTCTGGCTGTGAGCACTTTCTCCAAGTCGTTAGCTCTGATCTTGGGATTACTAGTAGTGGGAGCTCAAGTAAGTCGACCATTTCATCAAAGAGGATATAGCACTGATCAACGTATGGCAGTATGCCTCTTCCTACGGAATCAATGTTCTTCCTTACGAGCGCCTCCAGAGATACGTCAAAGGTATCGATCTCCGCTCCGCCGTGCAAGACAATGTCGCATTCAAAGTCTCCTTCGGCACCACCTTTGCGCTAGCTGCCTTTATGCAGTTTTAGTCGGGCCGCTGAAGATGCTGCCATGTAAAGTAGGTTCCAAGTAGAAGAAAAAAATCATGCTGCTTCGTAATGCCATGCCCAATGGCGTACCAATCCGATCATTCATTCTAATCAGCTTGTTGCGGATGAGTGTGTCAAAAAGGCACCGTCTCTCGTTCCAAATATTTCATAGCCAGAGAGCCCGGCTCAAAGAAGTCCTTGGTCTTGGCATGGATATCAGCATGGTACTCATTCAACCACCGCTTCTCTCGTGTCGTGAGCAGCGACGCGTCGATCAGCTTCCGGCAGTAGGGAACCATGGTCACATGCTCAAAGCCGAGATACGGCTTGTCGCCAAACTTGTGCCTGGTCTCAACTTCCTTCACCATGATGATATTCTCGATGCGGATGCCAAAGCTGCCGTCCTCGTAGTAGCCTGGCTCGTTCGAAATGACGTTTCCGGGTGCGAGAGGGACTTCGGAATATTGTATCCTGGTGCCGATTCCGATTGGGCCTTCGTGGACGTTGAGGTACGAGCCGACTCCATGACCGGTACCGTGTCGGTAGTCCAGTCCTTCATCCTGTTGCAGGTTAGCAGAATTTACCACGAGAAATGGAAACAACCGTACCCAGAGGAATTGTCTCGCTAGGGTGTCGAGAGCAAACCCGGTGGTGCCCTTGGGGAAAATAGCCAGATCCAAAGCAATGTTGCCCTTTAGTACCAAAGTGTATGCCTTTCTCTCCATCTCAGTTGGCTCCCCAAAATGAAGTGTGCGAGTGGTATCAGTAGTCCCATCAAGGTACTGAGCGCCAGAGTCACACAGATATACAGCCTTGGGATCAATGATGGCGCAGTTCCCGCGTTCTGGCTTGTAATGGATCACGGCAGCATTAGCTCCAGTAGACGAGATTGTATCGAAGGACAGCCCCACAAAATGCTTCTGCCTTGATCTCAGCTCTTCGAGCTTATCAGCCGCTGTTACTTCGTCGATTTCTGCCTTGTCAACAGTGATCCGGTGCTCCAACCAGGCGAAGTACTCGGTAAGAGCAGCGCCGTCTCGAATATGGCAAGCTCGCATACCATCCAGCTCCGTATCGTTCTTGACAGCTTTCGCGTCACCAATAGGACTTCTGACCTCCTCGACCTTGGCATCTCCACCCAGTGCTCGCTTCAGAGCCCAGGACGTCCTGGTAGATACCAAGAATTTCTTCATGGGACCACTCTGGCCTTCGGCATCCACGGTCAAAGACTCCCCCAGTACTTGGCTGTCGTCAAATATTTTCTCATATGGGCGTACTGAGACCCCATTGTCGGCAAGGTAGGTCTTGCATTCCTTACTCAACTTGGACTCGTTCACGAAGAGGGTGGCGGACGTCGGTGTGATACTTGCATAAGAGAAGAACACTGGGTTGTACGGGATATCGTTTCCGCGCAGATTGAACAGCCATGCGACCTCATCCAACATGGAAACAATAAACCCAGAGCTCTTCTTCTTTTCCAGTTCCTTCCGTAGCTCCTCCAACTTGGCCTTGACATCCTTTCCACAAAAGTGTCGAGCAAGTACCTTGACAGGCTCACTTGGGAGAGGCGGACGGTCCGTTCCCCAGATCAAGTCCACCAGATTTTCCTCCACCGCAGTCAGGTCCAGCCCACCCCTCTTCTTGATCTTCTCGCTTAGCCTTCTCGCCTCGGGAGCAGATATTACTCTCGGGTCGACCCCAACCACCTTGCCTCCCTCGGATTGCTCTGCAGACCACTCCTGCCAGGTCGGGACATCCTGTAGACCTTGCTTGAGCAGCAGCCAGTTGTCGTCAAGTTGCTTTGCAGCTTGGTTGAAATATCGACCGTCCGTAGCCAGAGCAGCCTTCTCGTGTGTGATCACTGCACAGCCCGCAGATCCTGAGAATCCGGTAATATACTCTCGTCTTCCATCACAAGGCGCAATGTATTCGGAGCTGTGGCTGTCTTCGGAGGGAACGACTAGGGTGGGGGTGTTAGAGTCGTTGGCCATGGGAGTCGCAGCCACTCACATACTGTAGATGTCGACCTTGTTCTTCCTCATCAGCTCCCTCAGCCGGGCCAGGCGCTCTGTGGTGACGACCTTCTCCATGGTTTCTTCTGGCTTGATCGGCCGTCCTACGCGTGTAGAACTGGCGCGGGAGGAAGCACTGTCAACAGTGCACGTTGCCAACGGTTGATATCGGATGCAGTTGTTGATGTTGATGTTGCTGATGTTGTTGATGTTGTTGATGTTGTTGATGTTGTTGATGTTGTTGATGTTGTTGATGTTGTTGATATTGATTTTCGATTTTTGGGAATAGTGCTCGGCGAGGAGGGAGGAGGATCGTGTTCTTGTAGCGACTTTCTGAAGAGCCCGAAGGTGTTGCATTGGTTTAAGTACTTGAGGAAAGCCCCCACAGTCGTGTCGTGGGTCGCTCAGTACTCCGTACTCCGTACTGGCCGCAAATGTGGAGTCGAGCTTGCTGGCCGGGGGTAGGGCAAGGTACCGGTAGGTGCGGTGCGATGCGATGGAGTGAATGGAATCAGATATATCTCGCTCAATATCTCTGTCAAAGGGTCAGTCATAACGGACAGGTATATATGCCTTTGATTCATCGCACAGCAGCGCCTTACCAACACAAATAAAGGTAAGTATCAGACTGCAAAAGAAGTATCAGAAGTACAAGACGAGGGAAGAGAATATAGGTACAGATCAGATTCCGTAGTCCTCCCGAGATATTAAGGCTGAATGTAGCGGCCTGAGGCCAACCATAACACCACCAAACTTACTGACTGACTGACTTCCTCTGATGCTTGAATTCCTTTTGCCGCGACACTAACAAGGAATCCCAGCGCTGCATCTATGAATATCTACGAATACCGGGACATGCGAATAGGTAATCAAACAAACCAAACAAACGAATAAAACACATATTTAATTCAAGGACAACTCGACAATAGATGATCAAAATCAAAATCTCACCACGTTCCTTTGGCCTCCTGCGCTTGGTTGTCTGAGGCTGTCCATCCCCAAAACATTCTCTCCTCTTCTCCTCCTCTCCTCCTGACAAACAGACTCGGAAAACATCACATCGACGCGCGATCATGGACAACGGACAGTTGCCCAATTCCTTAGGAGATGTTGAAGTGGTAGGGCCACTCCCATCTCAGACTTTCTTCCATTTTGCGTTTTGGGCCCGAACCAAACAACTTGCTAACCTTCCCACAGCTCATTACTCAACTGTATCGCCCCGGTGCCCCAGAAAAAATCGCCCAGATCCAGGAGACCCTCCAACGACTCCAGCGCTCTCCTGACGGCTGGCAGCTAGCAACAAGCCTATCCGAGCACCAAGATGAGCAAGTGAGGTTCTTTGCCGCCCTGACTTTTACCGTCAAGCTCAACACTGATGCGTAAGTCCCGCGGATTCTCTAGAACCAGAAAGAAATTTGCATCTCTGACGCATTTTGCTGTGTCTTAGAAAATCTTTGAGTGATGAAGATGCGCAAGCTCTGCTTCAAACCCTCATCGGCTGGCTGATCCGCTGCCTGCAATGCTCTGAGGGCGCTCTTGTCGTCAGGAAGTTGTGTTCAACCCTGGTGGCGTACTTTCTTCAGTTTTCCATGTCGTGGGAAAATTGCGTGAAGCATTTAATGCTCTGCTTGTTTGCGAACGAGGCACTTCCATACTCGGCCGTAGAAAATGCTCAAGACGCCTCGGTTATGGTCGAGAAAATCTCCAAATCCCAACCCAGCCGCGGTGTCTCCAAGTCCGTAGCCCTCCTCTGGTTTGCTGCTACGCTAGTTGAGGAAGTTGGAAAGACGGACTCGAATTCCATGAAACAGTTGAGTCAACCATCTGAATTCCAATGCAGCCGAGCTGACCATGAATAGGCATAAATTCCACCGCAGTGTTCTACCTAATGTTGATTATGTGGTTCCGCTGATATCAAAGTACATTTCCGACAGCTCAGCGGATATGAAGACCAGGCAAGAAGCTATGACATGCTTTCAGGTGAGTTCGTTGACCTTCTCCATCCATCATACGAGGTCTCTCTCTCAGTACCCCAATCCTTTACTATCAATTTCTCAAAACCCGAGCTGAGAGCTGACTAATTTTATACAGTCTTGGGTTTCTTACTCACACCGTGCTTTCGTTGATGATGCCATCTTGCTTGACCCACTACAGGCACTTACACAAACAGCAATCATGTGTCTAGGAGAGGATGATCTTTACGAGATTACGATTGAGCTCCTCTCGGATACCCTCACCAATTACTCCAAGTTCCTACTCAAAGAGGACTTGACGACCCTGAAAGCTTTGTTCAACAGCCCTTGGGCTCAGGAACGCTACCAGCGTCTGGTCAAGGGAGACTTCGACTTCGATTCTCTCCAATTTGGAATATTTATGATTGCTTTTGGCGATGCGACTGTCACGAACTTGGCTCGAAATTGCGGCAATGATCCCCAGTCATACCAGTATTTGTCTGCTCTCTGCGGCCTCCTTAGCGCCGAGGGCTACGCTGTCCATGAGGATAAGATCTATGTACCGGCCCTGGAATTCTGGACTACCTTCGTGGAAACCATGCTAGACGATTCCTACACTAACGAAGACGAAAAACCCGCGTGGTTCCCTGCTGCCCAAGAGCTTGTCAAGCAAGTAATCCAAAATTGTTGGCTCAAGAGCCAATTTCCGCCTTCCAGTGAGTACAATTCTTGGGACTCTGCGGATCGTATTGGCTTCAAAGATGCCCGAAGAGATTTCTCCGATCTACTTCAACAATTCTATCTCACGACCGGTATTCCTCTGCTCCAGGTATTCATCGATCTTCTCCAAAACTCTGCCACGTCAAAGAACTGGGCAGAGGTCGAAGCCACGACTTACTGTTTGTCCTGGTTTCCAGATTGCATATTCGAAGATCCACAGCGGTACTACTATTTGGACAAAGTATTCACGCCATATTTTATCTCCTTGTTTTCGGATTTCAATGCTGAGGTTCCGACACGGGCCATGAAAGGTTTTCTAGATCTCATCAATGTGTACACAGATTACTTCTACAACAGGCCTTCGAGTCTACCGGGAATATTGAACATTGTATTTGGCGCCGCTGGCGTGCCGTCGCTGGCCCGGACCGCGTCAAAGTCAATCATAAAGCTGTGCTCAGATTGTCGGACCATACTCATTCCTGAGCTCGCTGCATTTCTTCATCACTGTGGCAATATTGCTTCGAATTACTCACTTGATGGGACTATCAAGGAGGCAGTGATGGGAGGAATAGCTTCCATCATCCAAGCGCTAGACAGCGACGAAGCAAAGCTTGCTCCGCTCGAGCAGTTGCTCGACTATGTCCAATCGGACGTGGAGAAATGTCTAGAACTCTCAAACCAACCTCCAAATTCAGGACTTACAGCTTTAGATCTTGGGACGATATCCCTGAAGTGTCTCGCAGGCATTGCGAAGGGCATTCAGACACCTTATGAATTTCCTGTACACCTTGACAAAGTCGCTGTTCCGTCGTCTCATTTTTGGACGTCAGGAAACGGATCCCATGTCCAGCAGAGAGTCTACATGATGATGGACCGAATGTTCGATGTCCTTGGAAACAACGGTGATGTCGTTGACGAAACATGCACCATCCTAAGGAATGGGTTCAGAGAAGAAGAGCCAGGCCCATTCGTCCTCCCAGCAAAATTGGCAGCGCAGTTCCTGATGAAGTCAAACTTACAGACACCACGTTTAGGCCGGGTCATCAACACAGCTGCCTCTCTGATCGCGTCGCACATGTTGGATGCAGATATCGAAGAGATTCTCGATACACTCCTGAACTGGGTTGCACAGATCTTGCACGACCTTGAAGGTAGGAACCCCCGATTTTATTCCTTGTGATCCCCACTGACAGAAACACAGGGCCCGGCAGCGACCCCGAAATCGCCCAAGCAGCAATCGAGTTCCTCCACCGCATCCTCTTCAGATTCCCACACATCCTCCTCCGCCACCAACCGCCCTCCTCTCTTGAGTATCTATTCATGTTTGTCCTCAAGGCTCTGGCCGGCACCGATCCCTTGCCCAAAGCCTCCGCCACCGACTTCTGGGCCACCTTTATTTCCATCCAAGACTCCACTCTCCAAAGCTCGATTGAGATCGCAGTCCAACAAATCGGCCCACTACTAGCTCAAGCTCTGATCTATAATGTTGGCGGCCATGCTGCGCGCAGCGATCTGGAGAAGCTATGTCATCTGATCAGGAAGCTGGTAGTGAGGCAGGTGAATGCGAAGTCCTGGCTTGAGGCTGCGTTGATGGGAGATACCTTTCCGAGCAGTACGGTGACCGAGAAGGACAAAAATTTGTTCCTAACGAAAGTTGTGAAGTAGGATCACCCTCTCAAGCTACAGCTCCTTTCCCTGTACACTTTTCGAAGGCGATCGCTAACCAATGAATGCATCTAGTCTCCGAGGTGCAAGGCCAACGAATCAAGTAATCCGAGACTTTTGGCTACTGTGCAGAGGCTCCAATTTCGCCTATGCCTCATAATTTAAGAGGGAAATGCTTTTTTTCTAGGAATTTTGTCTTTGTACAGTGGATAGATACCCTTGTTTGTTTTCCAGAGTAGCGCTTTGTATTAATTTTGTTGCATAGCCTGGTGTTGAGTCGAATTTATAAGTCAATCGCATTACTTCTTAGGGGAGAACGTGTGATATGAAAGCGAAAAACTGTCTTTTGAATAGGGTTCGAGCGTGTTCATATACGTAGGTAATGTGATCAGCTAATTCGATCTCCATTCTCACACGCGGATAGGCGAAACTACATTGTTGGCAGTTAAGACCTGCAATCGTGGAAAGATGTTGGCGAGCGATGCCTCCTCCAAATCGATGGAAAAGTTATGGTGCAGTATGTCTTCTCTGGGGATGTCGAAGGGGTTGAAGTTCTGGAGACAGCAAGCGATAGTATCGACATATTCCCTTACGTTCCTACCCGATAGATCTGTTTGAAGATCATGGTAGAGGAGACGGTGGGCGGAGCATGGTCTACGGTGTGGAATACGGTACCTATGGACTGGGGATATGGGGGACGTTGGGGTTGGGACTGTGGACAGAGCACATCATGCCCACTGCCACCCACCATATGGATAACGAGGCTGAGGATCCAAAGGAGGAGGACGTTCCGCGAAAACGATGCCGTGTTTCTTCGACATCCCCTAGCAACGCTGAAAGATCTCCATCTTCCCTTCCACGTCCATCCAGCGCCGGCCAACCGCATACACCGTCCCCTCCGGCTGCGCAAAGACTGCCCGGTCTCAAAGCACAATGGTTAGCGAAGGAGCGTGAGCGCTCAGGTGTGCGGGATATGTGGAAAGAAGAGGAGGAGTGGGCGAAGAGTGTGGAGGGCGCGACGATGGATCGGGAGGAGGCTACGCGGTTGTGGAGGTTCTCCGGGCCGGAGATCAGGGAGCAGGAGGTCTAGGTTGAGGTTGAGGTTGAGGTTGAGGTTGAGTTTGAGCATCATGATGAGTGCCCGCCGCCACGGGCTCCGGCGTCGACCAGAGCTGGACGAAATCAGAAGGGGACGCACAGAGTAGGACTACTGTACCGGTAGTGTCGATGACTGGGAGAAAGTGATATCGCTTAGACTTCCAATGTTAACAGAAGAGAGGAATGCATGTTTTCTCACGCAATATCCTGGGGTGCTTCGTATCGCGAGAAAGAGAAAGATGTGACAAGCTTCGAGACTGTACTTAACTTCCCGTCACGTAAGCAAGCCCGAATCGCAATCGCATCATGGATTTATTTACTTACGGCTATCGAGTTATGTATTTGAATATTGCGCGTCCGTGCTGCCCGGAATATCACCGTGTCAACGGGGCCTTGGACTCTTGACAGTTCTTTGGCCAGTTTCCCTGTCTACGCTCAGGCTCAGGCTCGGGCTCAGGCTCAGACCCCACGCTGGGGTGGCCGACCAGGCTCTTTCTCAGCCTCGTCGACGGCATTTTCCTCATCTACCAACGTACTTATAATACTTACAATACTTACAACCCCTACAGTAATCACGAGAGGTATCCTCTCTAGACACCATGTCAGTGTCAGCCCCTACTACCTCCGAGCTCATCTTCTCTGAGCAAGCAAATCACAACTTCTCGAAAACCCTCGGCGAACTCAAGCGATCGACCCTGTCGATCCACAATCGTCTCGAGTCCATCCAGCACGATGCTGCATTCGCACGGCAAGTCGCCGACGCTTACAACAGACCCTTGATCGCGAACGAGAGATGTGGAAGCTGGTATATCGATCCGGTATCCAAGGGTGGGAGTGCCTACTTCAAGAGTACGGATGGGCACACAGGCGTCTGGAAGTTCAGCTCGAGGAGGCTGAATCTGCATCTGCTGGCACTCATTGGGAAGAACGACGGGTATGCCCGGTCACTCGCGTCGAAGCGCACCGCTGATGGCTCTGCAGGTGCATCATTGTGGATTCTACGCGGAGAGGGAAACGTGAGAGATCTCACGCTTGTTGATTTGGGCAGACGGCGAATACTAACGTATAGGAGGAATGCCGGACGCCCTCTCCAAAACAATTCCAATCTGGTGCGCCGTTCTCAATCGAGTCCTGTTCCCTAACGAACGGCAACGGCACCACCTCTACACGCCTCCGCAGGTTGTCTCTGAGTCGGAGCATGCACAAGTGACCGCCCTCCTCCCGTCCTTCGCCGAAGCCCTTCGGGCCCTCAAGATACCCCTCGACGAGCTACGCTCCCACGTCTCGAAACCTCTCCGGCCAGTCTGGATAACTCCGGACTCGGACCTTACTTCCACTGCATGTATCTTCGACGCCTTCCATCCAGTGATATGCTGCACCGTCTCGCGGAGAGTGGCAGGCGGAGAGCTTAGCGGAGGCGGCTACATACAGGGTGCAGGCGATGACACCGAGAACTGGGCATACGGTCTGACGCCGCCTGTGTTCTGGAGTAACAAACAGGCCCTCCTGTCGAGCCCGGAAAGCGATCTGCCCGACCTTATCGAGGCACTGGTCGAGAAAGCCAAAGCGACAGGGCGCGATGTGCAAGGGCTGAGGCTGGTGGAGCCGACTTCGCTCCTGTTTGTAGGTCCAGCCTCTGCGACTCTGGATGTGGTAGATGCGTGCACTGTTTCTCTATTGCCCAAAATTACACTAGAGGCAACATGGCAAACTTCAGCCGTCCGAGTCGATGTAGGCCTCGGCCCTCATAAGCTCGGGAGTAGAAATCTCCGGACGGCCTTACCTTTCATCATGGCATTTGTACGAAAGGTGCTTTCTAGCGCCGAATCTGCGAGAACCTCTCTTATCATCGTATGCGAGAGTGGCAAGGATCTGTCTATAGGCGTTGCACTTGCATTATCTTGTCTCTTTTTCGACGATCAAGGTCGAATGGATCTGAATAAGGCTGGGCGGATTGACAAAGACTTCATCAGGAGTCGCCTCGGATGGTTCGCAACGTCCATGCCTGATGCCAATCCGAGCCGAGCCACGGTGCAAAGCGTCAATAGCTACTTGATGGAAAGGCCCCAATAATGATTCAATATCCTGGGCTCAACTGAAATGTAATGCGCGAGTGCAGCTAACACGGGACAATACAGAAGAGATGAAAGGATATCGGTATAATGATTGATTTCATTTAAACAGATACGTGGCAAATGATTTGCATGCGAGAACTATGCTTGTACTTCGCAATCGTTTCTTAATTGACTCTATTAGTATTCAATTGAGATGGGAATTAATCATTCGTATCGATATCGATTAGACCCGAAACGAATTGAATCAAACATTACCTTACTCTCGTCACTTGAAAAGGCGTGTTCTTGTCGTTGAGGCGCTGAGACGAGCGCGTGCGGATCCTGTAGACGATACCGCGCGGTAATGTTCAGAGGCGAGGCATTGTGGACTCGGAATGATCACACGATAGGTTCTCCAAAGAAAAGCCACATATCCCTTTCACTGGGGCGCCGAGTCTCTCCTCGCCAAGTTATTGTGCAAGATATGCTGTTTGATGAACAATGCACACACGGCTCCCAGGATCGCAAGGCCGAAAGCAGTCACGAATACACCCTTCAGTGCGGTCGCGAAACTGTGTCTGACGCCTTCTTCCCACCCGGGAGGCAGGTTGTTCAACTCATCGAAGCTGTCTCTGATCCTCTGGATCTCTTCCTCGGCTCCTGGTTGGCCCGCGAACTTTTTATTCAAACAGGACCCGAGGAGATTTTGGAAGACGGCCGATGCGATGGTGACACCAAGCGAGGAGCCTGTGGAGCGGAAAGCGTAGGTTGCTGAGGTGATGACGGCTTGGTGCTCGTGGTCCACGGCTGCAATAACAGCAAGCAGGGTACATGTGAGCATGCCACCATACCCGGTACCGATGAGGAATAAGTAGATGTAGCATAGCCCGTCCGGCGCATACAGGCTGAGGGTTGACAGCAAGCCAGTTCCGAGGCAGAAGCTGATAAGGAGGCCGACGGACAGGACTTTGTACTTCCCAGTGCGGTTCATGATCAAGCCGCTACCTAGGGAACCGAACGAGGCGCCCACGGATTGCGGGATCATGCGCAAGCCAGCGCCGGTGGTCGACACGCCTTTGACTTGGAAGAAGATTGGCATGTAGAAGAGGACCGTGAATGTCACCATGGTGGTGAACCAGTTGCAGAGACATGCTGCGGCGACGGTGCGATTGAGGAGGAGGCGGACGGGAATGACAGGTTCCGAGGCGATGTAGAGCTCTACATAGATGAATGCCAACAGAGCGACGCCAGATAGAGGGAAGCAGGCCAGCACCAGCGGGTGTGTCCACGGGAGGACGTTCCCTCCCGAATTGAGGCCAAGCAGCAGCAGGACGAGCGCAAGCAGCAAAGTGGAGGAGCCCAGGAAATCCACCCGCGAGAGCTTCGACCCGTCCGAGTCCGACTCCTTGACGGGCACGTCGACAACCCACCACACCAGGATTCCCGAGACGAGCACCAGCGGCACCTGCGCCAGGAACGCGACTCTCCAGCCCCAGAGATCGGTTACCCACCCACCGAACACGCCGCCCAGGCCCGCGCCGGTGCCAAAACACACGTTTCCCAGGCCTTGTACGATCCCCCTCTTCCGCAACGGCACCAAGTCGCTGGCCACAAAGGTGCTGATAGCCATCAGCCCGCCCCCTCCCACTCCCGCGACCGCCCGTCCGGCAATCATGGTCCATTGCGAGGTCGCGAGACCGCAGATCAGGTTTCCGGCGGCAAAGAGGATATTCGAGACGACGAGCCCGCGCCGCCGACTGAAGATATCGGTCAGGCGGCCGGAGAGCGGCTGGCAGGCGGCGTTCGCGATGAGGTAAGCCGATGCCAGCCAGGAGAGGAGGGACAGCGAGTTGAAAGACGTCGAGATGGGCGCGGAGAGCGTCGCGATGATGGTGCCATCGAGGGCACCGAGGAACACGCCGACGTAGACGCTGGCGAGGGTGATGTATAACCGCCGAGGGGATCGCTCTTCAGGAGGGATGGAGATCTGCTCGCTGGTTGCCCATTGCGCGCTGCTGCCGGTGTTGGTGTTGGCCTCGGTGACCTTGGAACTGTCGCCGTCGCCGAGGAGGGGGGTGATCTCGCTCGGCCTGCGGCTGGTGGACATGGTGCTATTGCGCAAGAGATGGGATCGACGTTATGATTGAGAGGGAGGATGAAGCAAAGCAAAGGGAACACATCGTCGATGTAGATGTATAGCAGAAGCTTTGCGAGGTATGAGTGAGATGAGTGAAGATGAGAGCGCCGGGAAGTTCTCCGTGGATTGTCGTGGTGGGGGTTATCCGCGGCTTTGTCAGCATGGCGGTGAGGAGCCAGAAACGAGCATTCGAGGAGAGTCAGGCATGAAGGGGGAGGGAACATGTGATCGCTGATTGAAGGGTATTGTTACCCCGATTCCCAATCTGGCGAGAAATCTCCGGCAATGCTGGGTTCTTTTTTTTGTTTACTTCGCCTAGCAAGCGAATGCCAACCGAAAGAAGATGCCGTGACTCGTTCCACGATTTAGGCGATGTCAATACAGACGGCGAACGTCGAGCCAGGTCCTCGATAGCCAGCCAATCTGTTTCGTAGGGACTCATATCAAGCACCAAACGGCAGACAGATAGTTACAACTACATCACCTAGCTTCTTAGATTTGCATATCGATCGATATATGGCTTCCGATGCTTCGCGGCAAGTCTCAGCATCCAGGTCTCACTTCAGAGCTGGCTCTTTCCCTTAGCAATGCCGTCCAAGGCATCCTGAAATTCTTCCCAATGCTTCATCACCACCACACAGCCGGCGTCGGTCAACACCTTGGTCATCCTCTCCTCTTCATGCTTCTCATAAGCACCCGTATACCCGATCGTCTTGATGCCGGCCCTGAAGGCGGCCGTCGCCCCGCTCTTGCTGTCCTCAACCGCGACGCACTCCTCGGCCGTCACGCCCAGCTCCTTCATCGCATGCAGGTAAATGGCCGGATCGGGCTTACTCGTGGGCTTCTCCAGACTCGTCGCCGCACTATACACATCCTTCCCAAAGTACTTGTCCTGGCCAACCTTCTCGATACTCGCGACGACCCTCCGCAGCGCCGAACTCGACACGACTGCCATCTTGTACTTGCCCTCGCGGGCCAGCTTTTCGAGCTCCTGGTCGGCGCCGACGCAGGGTTTCAACTGCGCCTTGAGCTTGGCGATGACCTTGTCCTCTTCCGAGGAGACGTACTTCTCGAGCTCGGCGTCGTCCATCTCGTACTTGAACTTGGCTTTCAGCGAGACCATCATACCGCGGAAGTTCTGGCCGACGAACTCGTGGAGGAGTTGCGGGCCGGTGTAGCGGTCGGGGATGTTGCGCGAAGCGAGGATCTCGTTGGCGAGTTCGGCACAGGCTTCGAAGGCAAGCTCCTCGGAGAGGACGAGCGTATTGTCGCAGTCGAAGAGGAGGGTAGTGATCTGGGGGGAGAGGGAAAGGGGATGTTAGTGGGAAGAGATGGAATGGGAGGAGGTTGGAGGGGGGAGGACGAACGTTTGGCATTTTGGCGGATGGGACTGGGGATTGGAGTTTCTTATCTGTGGAAGTGGTGAAGATATATTCTGCACTTGCGTTCTGGGTGTTTGTGTCGTCGGTAAGAAAGAATGAGTCTGCAGCAACGAACTGGAGGGGGAGGAAGAGGAAGAGGAAGAGGAAGAGGAAGAGGAGGAGGAGGAGGAGGAGGAGGAGGGGAGGGGGAGCGGAAGGAGTAGGATGTCTATGTCGACGTCATTCGACGTGTGGGGACCTTTTACATCCTTCAGGGCGCCGAAGAGAATCTGAAGGATTGAAGGCGTCGAATTGGTTAAATGGGCGTGTTATACCTGCCGGTATCTATCCTTTGGCTGCGCGAAGAAGAAGACGACGACGAAGAAAGGATGCATCGCATCCCGCTTTCAAGACCCAACCCGAGGGAATTCTGCGCAGCTCTCGACCAAGATCGAGGCCTCGCTTAAGATACCGATAGGGGGGTGATAAGCCGGGCGGGATGTAGTAATAGTGGTGGTGGTAGTAGTAGTGGCAGTAGTAGTGGCAGTAGTAGTAGCAGCATTAGTAGCAACAGTAGTCGTAGCAGCAGCAGCCGTACGCTTGACAATCTCTCCTGCGGGCATCAGTTCAATATCCGCCTGCCCACGGGTCTCTTGGACATGTTGTCGTTCCGCCGTTCCGCCGTTCCGCCGTTCCGCCGTTCCGGAGGCTGCCGGGCCGGTTGACATGTGAATTAGTAATGCTTGTAGGTCTCAACACGAACCCGAACTCTACCAAAAGTCAAATTCTCGTCAGTTGCACTGGGAAACACGACGCCCCGACCCACGCTGACGCGGCAACCGAGTAGACCGAGGCTGATCAGCGAAAGATCAAATGCATCAAGAAACGAGGATTCGAGGATTCGGAATGTCGAGGTAGGAGAGCGATCAACCGAACCGTGATGAATTGGAGTCAACAAACAATGGATGGTGGTACCGGTATACCGGTATACCGGTATATGATAGATGATATAGATTTATCCTAATAATCATACCTGTAAACTTCGTATATATATGTACATGTATGTACCGTATATGTATGTACTACTATATATATCTCTCTCTCTCTCTCCCCGGGCCCGCAGCAGTCTCAGCCTCGCAGTCGGCCTCGTCTATTTTGGGAATTGAATTTCCGGGTCGAGTGTTGTTGACCTGGGAGCTGGAGCTGAGCTGAGTTAAGGGCTGCGTCTGTCTGCACTGAGGCTGAGTTTGAGTCGGCGTGAGCCTGGGCTGTAGCTGGGCAAGAATTCTCCGTCAGTCCGTCAGTCCGTCAGTCCGTCAATCCGTCAATCCGTTCGTCAGTCTGTCAGTGTCAGTCTGTCAATTCAACTTCATCGGCTTCACCTTCATTGATACGGAGGAAAGGAAAAAGAAATACAAACGAAACAACCACAACCACAACCACAACCACAACCACATCCACAATCCACAACCCACATCCCACAACCATGGTCGAGTTCGACGCTCACAGCCTGCCCAAGATCAAGATGATCGTGCACATTGGACAAATGGCCCTCATCGCCGTGTCCGGCATCTTCGAGATCGTCGTCTTCTCCAAGGCCGACCAGATTGATGGACGGCCCGGCTACTATTTTACTCTGGTAGGGCTTCCCATCCATCCATCCCATCCATCCATCCCCGGACATCGAGTCGAGATCTGCCCGACCGAACAGACGCTAATCCTGCTTGTTGTCGTCGTCGCCTAGTGCTTCCTGACGATCCCGGCCGTGATCTACTTGACCATGACGCCGCGCTTTCCCCGAACCCGCAAGCTGGCCAACCCCTACGCTATGGCCTGCGTCGACGCCCTGTTCTGCATCTCATGGCTGGCGGCCTTTGCGAGCCAGGCGAGCTACAACTCCAGCGGGAAGTGCAAAGGCGCGTGTGGTGGCAGCAAGGCCGTGGTGGGACTCGGCGTGTTTATTTGGTAGGCAGACCTTGCCCTTCCTCTCCCTGTGCCCTTTGGACTGCCCCGAACGTCCGGCAAACGAAATGTATACAAAGACGTATACATACATACATACATGCTTCCACTCACCTTCGAGGAGGCAGCCAGGCTGGCCATGCTAACAAACTAACAGGCTCTTCTGGGTCGCCACCACCTTCATGTCCCTCTATGGCGTCGTCTACTACAAACGCGAGGGCTACCTACCCGGCGCCACGCGCGCTCCCTTCAATGCCCAAACCATCGACCCCGACAAGGAATCCTTCTCTACGGCGCCCCACGACGACGAGTACGCCCCCGTGCACAACCCGGAGCATCTCGACGAGCACGAGCTGCCGCAGCAGGCCCTCTCGGATTCCCACTACAGCGCCGCGAATATGGGCAGCATGGGAGGCCGCTTCAACGCGGACAGCTACGGGGGATATCAGTCGCCGGCGGTGCATGACGAGCCGACGGGATACATGGGCTACACCGGTGCGGCGCCGGTGCGGGAGGGTGGGGGGAGGGTGCAGTTCCCGGATGCTCCGTACGCGAGTTCAGGAGGGTTGCTGGAGGGCGGGCGATGAGTAGATGATGTGTGTGTGTGCGTTTGTGTGTGTGTGCGTGCTTCTGCCTATATCGATGCTTTGGAAAGGGGCGATGGGGCGTTTAGGGCATAGTTCTGGTGTATAGGCTCTGGTCGATACCAAAGATTGGCCAATCGACGGACATTTCCGCGCGGCGGGAAGAGAACAGAGAGCGTGGACGAGATGTGGCGGCGCTGGTGACGGGCTTGGGAAAATCAGGAACACGAGCCTGCAAAATGTCGAGATGATTTCTGGCAGAGGTAGCGGTATGGGCCGAGGTCGAGGAGGCCCAGGCCAAGTGGTTGCCGCAACGGAAATGCGGAAACGCTTCGAGTTTGTTTATTCCTGTCTTTGGCTCTTGACTCCCTCCTCGCTGCGATCGGAACTCCCAATACCCACGTTTCCGTCCAAAGCTACCAGATCTGAAATGCATCTACCTTGTATAGAGATAGACGCCTCCATCGTTCTTCTGTCTGTTGATTTCCCGTGCTCTTCTCCGCGCAGCCATTTTCTGTCCTGTTCGTAACGGTATTTGTTGTTTGTGGATGACTCTTCTCGTTCAATCACTTGGCGATGAATTTGAGTCGCAAATGTTGTGCCCATCATATGTTAATATAAATATATGCCGCTCGTTCTAGTCTGCACCCTCCAGAGGTAAGTGCCGGTATATCTTCATTTGGTTCCGGTGCTCTCGCTCTCGTTTTGTTCTTTAACTACCTGATGATTAGACCACCTGGCCACGAGAATATCAGCTTACACGTTAAAATCGCGTTCAGAAGTAATAGCCCGAGTAAGAAGGCCTCTCATTATTTTCTCTCGTGATCCGGCCATCTCTACTGACGCACGAATTCGCCGGAAGAATCCTACATTCAGAGGATTGATTGATACTCCAGATTTTTGAAGAGGAGAAGGGAGATCTGCTAGCGAACGAATGGTCACCATCTGATCTATGTGTAGGGTATATGTCGAGCGGTCAATCGGGCTATATATATCATACGGGGAACTGCAATGTGCGTTGCTGGTGTGCTTTTTGCACAAGAGTATGTCTTGACAGACTTGACAGATTGATTTTTCGCAATTCATTGAGATAAAGCGAGCATGTTGGGTGTATCCTCGCTTCATCTATCAACCCTCCCGCACCCGAAGAACGAATAGACAGACAGGTAGACGACATAAAGTGTCCACCTTAGAGTGATTGTCTCGCGTGGCAGAACCCGCCGGCGCCAAAGGACAAATCTAATCGTCGAAAAATAGGTGTCACGCCGATGGTCAATTCCAATGGGCTGCGAGCTAGATATAGCTCATCTAATTGTACCCGAGAGTGTAAAATAGATATTGCTTCTAGTTCTCTCTCTTCTTCGAGTCGAGATCGGAAAGCTTCGATTACCATTACCGACCGGAACGATATCAAAAGCAGATAGTTGTAAGTCCTAGGTACCTAGATATCCTCGAGTCGTAAATTATACTTTCGGCTAGCCGTGTCTTCCCGGCTGCAATGCATTCTGCTAGATGATAATGATAAAGGCAAAGTTGCTGCTGCTGCGTTTTGGTTTGGCTTTGGATAGATAGCAAGCAAGCAAGCAAGCTAGCTACACTACGTACCTACAGAGCATACGGCGGCAAAGCCTTTCGAGCGAGAAGGCAGAAGGCTTAGCCGAGGGGCTTTCTTGGTCAACATGGGCAGTCTGCTTGGGTGCAGAAGTGAAGCACGGCTGACTAGAGCTTCGTCTGGACTTACAACTACTCCGTCAATGTTTGGCCTGTGTGTGTGTGTGTGTATAGTTACATAGTTACCGGTATGTACGACTGACTAGCAGCTGACCACTGCCTTAGAGTGGAGACGTGACTTTTGTTTTTGATATCGAGCCTCTGGAGTCTGGACACAGCTCCATGATGAATGCAGGAGCCAGGGCCTACTCCTGATTGACAAGGTATGATTCTTTCAAGGATCGTAATATTCGGAGTCAAGCCTCTGTAGGCTACGCTTGTATCGCATACCAAGCTCCTCCCGATCAGCCTCTACACCGTCTTCTCTTCAACTATCTCGATTATCTCTTTGTCACCGGGACGCTCGTCCCTATCCACTCCCTCCGCGAGGCGTCTCTCCCTGATGATCTCGTCCGCCTTGGCTCTCTTCCGGGGAGCGAGGCCTGATATGTTGAACATGACGTCCATCTCCTCGAGCGACAAGCCTTTCGTCTCGGGCATGAACAGGATCGCGACCGTGATACCCACGGCCAGCGACGCACCAAAGAAGATGAAGGTGCCCCATTTGATATCGCTCATCATGTACGGGGTCGAGTAGACAATGATGAACTGGCCGAGCCACTGGGTGCAGGTCGTAAACACGAGGCAGACGGACCGCGTGGCCGACGGGTAGACTTCAGCGCTGGGGGATCTCATGAGCTTGATCCTCTCACGAGGAAGGGGGTTCGGTGGGGGAGAGAAGGGCCCTTACCAGAAGATCCAGGGGATGCCGTTCCACGACATGGCGTAGAAGATGGCGAAGAGGTAGATCATGAGGATCGCGACGTAGGCTCCGCCGTCCTTCTTTGCACTGCCGTCGAAGGAGCCCGACACCTTGCCGAAGGCCGCGAGGTAGAACATGGCGATGATGGCCCCGACCGAGCCGATCATGAGCGACTTGCGGCGTCCGAGCTTGTCGATGCCGAAGACCATGAATCCCAGCGTCGCGAAGGCCTTGACGAGGCCGAAGACCCCGGTGGCGAGGAGCCCGACGCTGGTCCCGCTGAAGCCGATGGACTTGAAGATGGTGGGCGAGTAGTAGTTGAGGGCATTGATGCCCGAGAGGTTCTGCAGCATCATGAGCGACATGCCGATGGCCAGGCGGTTCCGGATGCCAGGTGCGAAAACCGCCTTCAGCTTCTTCATGAAGGACTCGTGAGCGCCCGAGTCATACTCCAACTGCAGCTGCTCCTTGCAAGTCTCAACCTCCCACAGCAGATAGGCGTCATCCGCAGGTAGATTCCGGATCCGGATCAGGTTCTTGATGGCCTCCTCGTCCCGGCCAGCCTGCAGCAGCCACCGGGGCGACTCGGGCTGGAAGAACATGGCAATGATAAGGAGCGTGCCTGGTACGAATTGGATCGCAAAGGGTATATGCCATTGCCTGTCCAGGGTTGGGGAGACGTTCTCGTTGACTCCATAGTTGACCCAGAAGCCGATGACCAGAGAGAACTGGAGGAAGATTTCGAAGATGCCGATGAGGCGACCGCGGATGGCAGGGGGGGAGCATTCCGAGATGTACTGAGGGATGATGAGGGACGAGGCACCAACAGCGAGGCCTGGGAGATGGAATCTGTCAGTCACGCTCTTTTCATAGAGCCATGAGAGTCATATCAACAGCGAGACGTGGAATGGACACTACCTGTAAGTGCCCGACCGGCATAGATCAAGCCAATCTCGCCGCTCGAGGCCATCTGCATAATGACACCACTGTTGAAAACGGCTCCGCATATCAGGAGAGGAACCCGACGCCCCAGCATCTCCGACAAGAAGTAACAGGCAATGGCGCCGAAGAAGCAGCCGGCCTGAAAAGTGCTGACGATATTTGCTTTGAGGTTGTTCAGCTCATCGCCGGTTGCTGATGCAAGACCGAAGCGGTTTTGGAATGAAGGGAGGGACATCGCTCCGCCCTGCCTCACCTGTCAGTCGATGTGTTCGAAGTTCGAATAGCAACTTACTCACGATGAAGGCGGAGTCATATCCAAACATGCTTGATCCCATACTGGCAGATACTGCGAGGGCAACCACCCGCCAGTTGTAAACTGCCGCCGGGGCTTGGTGGACGGAATCGTCAACGACTGTAAAGATGCCCATCTTGGAAGAAAGTTCTCTCGGGTACAGCCGCCAGTCTGGGGAAGAGTAAGAGAAGATGAAGAGACGGAAGACATTGAGATTGAGATTGAGCTTTTCGGTTGAGCTTTATATGTAGGGAATGGAATGCCACTTGGCGCCGAGTGCTGCGGGTGAGCATGATCTCGAGTAGCATCAGCATCAGGACGAATAGCTGCGAATGATAGAAACGGGACCGGGTTCAAAGTTGGCACTGTACTGTAAGTATGTAGTCAGTAGTAGTGTTATGTGGAGTTGCGGGGTTGTGGAGACGATGCGGAGTAAAGTATCCCCCCGGGGGGATGAAGCAAAGATCCAGGCATCAAAGTCAATGGATACTCGAAGTGCAGTCAGTTTACCATACTAAGCTGAGCTTGATCTGGGGGAGAGAGGGAGAGACATTCGGTCGGGTAGGACCTTATCCTATCGATAGCCAAGCTCCAGTGGCCAAGTTTCCAAGGCGTCCAAGATTCCGCACCCAAGGCCAATGAAAGTAGGTAGTTGTAAGGATACCTATCACGCCGACTTCAGCGGGCACCTTAACATCCTGGCTCCTGGCCGCTGCCTAGATACGTAGCTTCTTTGCATCGAGATACGCTTACAACGGCTCTGTTGTTTCTCTCTCGCTTAACTACCTACTTGGGGCAGGAAGTTCGAACCACGGGGAGAGTCGAGACTGAGAGGGTGGATATCTCCTTCAAAGTCTATTATCCAAAGACGGGTCATGTGCGATAGTGTCGGTGAGTGAAGAAGCAATGGTTGCTACAATCAATGCCTGTTGATTGTGCGCCGCCCATGGGAAAATTTCTGGAGCAGGCCGAGAAACGATCGCGCTACCAAGTAAATGACCACCCTCTTCTCCATCATGAAATAACCGCCTCTCCCTTGAAATACCATCTTGTCTTGGCAAGATCGCCTGAGTCTGTAAAACGTGTCTACATTCGTCTTCAACACCCTATATCGTAGTCGATACCTCGCGCGTGGTATGTCGTAAGTAGGCAAAAGCGGTCTTCATATGTGACGCTACTAGGTACGACAGCGAGAAGAGAACCATGCGTGCCACCAATCTGCTTCACCGTAAGAAAGCCCCCACTTGCCGCAACACTAGCGAGCTCGAGAACAACTCAACTCAACTCAGATACGCGGGCGAACGTTCGAAATCTATTCATCAGTATCACATCAAACTACTAAATATCATACACAACAGCACTAATAATCATCTTAGCCCGTGCATTCCTAAGCAAAGAATAATTCTGACGGTGTAAGTACGCTGTACTAACAGATAACGAAAGCAGCTCGCTAAGAGATGCCCAGTGGCAGAGATATGAGACGAAGCTCAGCTTATATTTGCTAATGCCACAGGCGTTCTAACGGAGTATATAATTCTTCAATCTACTCATAGTGAGATCCATTACCTTCTCGATTAGCTATTCATCGATCCGTCCTGAAAGCAGGACCTGAAGCAGGAGTATATATACTAACTACTGCACTGCACTTACGAATAGACCACCTGGAGAAGCAGAAGGAAAATGGACGAGTGCTCGAAACTTCTTCTGCGGCGTATACCGCCCGAGTTTTGAACCCTATCTATGAAAATGATTGATCAATTTGACTCGAATCGTGTTCAACGCAAAGCTGAAAGAAAGACCGCAGCGTGCTTTTATAAGGATACGAGTCATAGGTGTTCAGAGGTTGCCCTCGCCCCCGTCGTGGCTAAGCGAGTCGCGATTATCACTTAAACATTGCTCCATCGACCGTTAACCAAATTATCTGAAGGCTAGGTAAGACATCTGGTTATGAGATAGCCATATCTGTAATATCTATATCGACAAAGTCTTTCTTCCTGAAATTGCTGTGGGTAACGCGTATATGCGCTCCATTTGCCGTTGGTATAAACAAATTTTCAAGGGGCTGTATATGATAGGTGTTCAGCAAAACAGAACATATGCTTTATAGAAGTATATCCCTCTTTGCTATCAATACATCTTGATGATCTTATTCTCGCTCAAACACCGAGAGTCTAACCAACACACGGGTGACAAGTGACGTCATGTGCAACTCTCCATACTTAGGTACCCAGTAGCACCATTTTCCAGCAGATCTCCTCCAAGAAAACAATCCACTGTTATTCTCATTCTCTCTCTACACTTCGTTATTCACCATCACGAAGTCAATAACGGACGTCGCAATCACTTGCCACGGCCTACCATGAAGGACTACAGCTTTCCCAGCCAGCCTCTCGCTGAGCCCGGGTCCGTCGTTTCTGGTCCCAACTACCGCTTCACCATCCTCACCGACCGTCTATTCCGATATGAATGGTCGGAAGATGGCGCGTTCGAGGACCGGGCCTCGACGTTCGCCATCAACAGGAAGCTCCCGGTCCCAGACTTCCGCGTCGTGGACCGCGACGACGAGCTCGAGATTATCACCAAGCACTTCCACGTGAGCTACGACAAGAAACGCTTCAGCGCGGGCGGGCTGATGGCCAGCTTCAATGCGAAGATCACGTTGTGGGGTGCCCAGTGGCGGTTTGGGAGCGGGAGGCAGAGAGAGAACCTGGGCGGGACGGCAAGGACCTTGGATGATGTTGATGGGAGATGTGATATGGGCGAAGGCGTCCTCTCGCGCTTCGGGTACGCCGAGATCGACGACAGCAAGTCCATGTTGTTTGACGGGCATGGCTTTGTCGCCGGACGGCCAGCCGGTGATCGCGTGGACGGATATCTCTTTGCCTATGGGCTTGACTTCAAGGGGGCAGTCAGAGCTCTGTATCAGATCTCGGGCCAACAGCCCTCGGTTCCGAGGTACGCACTCGGAAATTGGTGGAGCAGGTACTATGCCTACAGTCAGGAAGAATATGTTGCTTTGATGGACAAGTTCCGCGAGCATAATGTCCCCCTATCGGTGGCGGTCGTCGACATGGACTGGCATATGGTGGGGGACGATGCGGTACCCCATGCGGGATGGACTGGGTATACGTGGGATAAGAAGCTATTCCCCGACCCGAAAGCCTTTGGCAAAGAGCTTCACGATCGGAACTTGAAGATTACCTTGAACGACCACCCTCACGCCGGAATTCATTATCACGAAGATGGGTACGAAGAGATGGCAGCGTTTCTCCGTCACGACACAACCCACAAGCACCCGATTCTCTTCGACCCTACGAACCCGAGATTCATGGAGGCCTACCTCAAGATTCTCCACCGGAACATTGAAGAAGTTGCGTGCGACTTCTGGTGGATCGACTGGCAACAGGGAGAGCATTCGAAAGTGCCCGGCCTTGACCCTTTGTGGATGCTAAACCACTTTCACTTTGTCGATGCTGGGCGAGATGGGAGGCGGCCACTCATCTTTTCTCGCTACGCTGGCCCAGGTAGTCATCGCTACCCCGTCGGCTTCTCAGGAGATACCATCACGACTTGGGCCTCTCTCGCGTTCCAACCCGAGTTTACTGCCACTGCATCCAATATCGGCTATGGATGGTGGAGCCACGACATTGGTGGGCATATGGGCGGAACTCGAGATGACGAACTCGTGACTCGCTGGATTCAGTTCGGCGTCTTCTCTCCCATCATGCGATTACACTCAGCTAATAATCGCTGGTCTTCAAAGGAGCCTTGGCTCTACCGGAAGGAGAGCGAGATTGTGATGTCCAACTTCCTGCGGTACAGACACCGGCTCGTGCCGTACATCTACTCGGCCGAAGAGCCGTTGATACAGCCCATGTACTGGGAGTTCCCAACGCGAGACGAGGCATACTCTGTACCTAATCAGTACTTCTTCTCGGAGCTCATCGTTGCACCGATCGTGAAGCCGAGGAGCAAGAAGACAAACATGGCGTGCGTGAAAGCATGGCTGCCGGATCGATGCATTGACATCTTCACTGGCACTATTTACGATGGTGGCGAGGTAGATCTGTACCGAACGCTGGGGGAGATCCCCGTCCTGGCGCGAGAGGGGTCAATTATTCCGCTCGATGTCAATCCCACGAACGGCTGCCTGAAACCAGCAGCCTTCGAGATTCTGGTCGTCGTTGGCAAAGATGGTTCATTCACACTCAAAGAGGACGACAGGAATTTCCACATCTCGTTCGAGCAGAAGACGGGCAAGCTCGTCTCGGATATTGACCGTCCATGCACCTTTCGCTTCCTCGGCATCACGGCTAGTGTCGTAGCTTCATCGGACAGGGTAGAGAATGAGATGTCTTTCGGATTGTACCCCGATGTCCCAAGCTTGTTGGTCAAAGTCTCGGGACCCGCAACCATCCATCTTGAGGGAAATCCTCAGCTTGACATTATTGACCAGAAAGCCCGCATCGAGTCGATCCTCCTGGACTACCAGGTCGAATTTGCGCTTAAGGAAAAGATCTGGAGTGCGGTTACGGACGATGTGACGCCGTTGACCGTGAGGCTGCGGAGGCTGATGACTCTGGGGGAAGACGAGTTGATTGGACCAATCTTGGAGCTCCTTCTTGCTGATGGCAGGGAGGGCTTGAAGGAATTGTAAAACAAAAATAAGAATAGGAGGTTACGATCCAGAATACTTATAAGAATCATTACCTAGGTCCAAGTCCGACTTGCCACTAGGTCAAATAACGGCTCTCTTTTCAAAAGAACGAAGCAAAAGATTCGTCTCCCGTACTTACAACGCTTGCTTGTCATTGTCTTATGCATGTGTTAGTCTGTTGTCGTCGGCCTCGGGGCTATCATTCTGAGCCTCCATGTGTGTGTGTGTGTGTGTGTGTGTGTGTTGACTTGCGGACCTCTCTTCTGGGATGGTTATGATGCATCGATGGTCGCTGTTGGGAATACATACATGGATACATGCAGTTGCTGGCGCGCTGGTGCGCTGGTAGTGTGCCCACATAAAATGGAGGTTTTCGCTTTCTGTTTTGCGGTGAGGTGAGGTGAGGCTGTGTAACTGTTGTCAGTATTGATATAAGTTGGTCGTTTCTGGATAGTCTTTGCTTGGGGTTGGGAAATCCATTTTCGAGTCCCTGGGTCAGCTTGGGAATCGGGCCCGCACGAACTTATGAGAACGAATTCAGTTACCAAGGGCCGTGCAGTACCGGTACCCCAGGTCTTCGTTTCAGAGGCTGGAAGTCCTGGGAAAGGCTGCGTTGCAGATGTCCTGTTGCCCCATCGCGTTCACCATCCCATCCCATCTCACCTGACCCGACCCGACGTGGCCCGGTCATGCCTGCAGAACCCTCCTCGGATCCAACCCCCCAATGCTCACGCTCTTCGCTCCTCCCTCAAACACAAACTCGCTCATCAATTTGCCCGTCGCACAGCTATTCTGAATTCCCCAACACGTGTGTCCCGTCGCCATTAACAAGCCCTTGATCCCCGTCTCGCCAATCAGTGGCCCGCCACCTCCTGCTACGGATGGGAGATAGCAAGCTTGTTTTGCCAGGATGGCGCCAGAGCGCATGAGTGTGGAGATGGAGCCGCAGTAGTCAATTATGTCCTGGCAGCGATCTTCATCGCAGACGACCAGGTCGCTGGTTTTGGGGAGGGGGACGAGGGAGTCGCCTTCGCCTAATTCAGGGGCAAGTCAATAAACAGTTTCTCGGCTCGGAAGAGGGTGCAGAGAACGGGCGTACCGCATGCGTAGACTGTGCCGTCCGGCCTGGCGTACATTTCCGGAGACACACTCGTACCGTGTCTCCTCCTCTTGACATCGTCTCCACCCATCGTTCCAAAATCCTTGGGCAGCGAAATCTCGCTGAAGACCGCGTACGGGCTTACATCCGCCTCGACCACTACACTATGCGCCCTCATCGCCTCGATTGGCGCCTCGGGAAAGACATGGCTCGTCCACGGCCCGGCAGACAAGATCACGTCGGTAGCTGGCAGAGTGTGGATATGTTTCGTCTCCTTGTCCTCATAGGTTACACCTTTGACGCCGTGGGGTCCCGTATAATCGATGGCCGTAACGGCGCCCAGTATCACTCTCGCACCAGCATCGGTCGCCAACTCGGCCATGGAGGTCGTGAACTGATAGGGATGGACCTGTGCAGTGGTAGCCGGTGTCCCCATCTCCGAGTATCCCTTCACAGCCTCATCATCAAACCAATCCAGTTCCTCGGGGACCCCCTTCGCCACACCCCTCTTCTTGTCCGTCTTGGGCAGCTTCTGCCACTGGTCGCCTTTGACTGCCGCCGCTTGGGCTGCGTTGGCACTGGTCTTATCATCTTTTCCCTTAGCGCTGAGGGAACCGCAGTGAAGAGTCCTGTAACCCCATCTCGTCGCGCCGTCGTGTTCTTTTGCCAGCTCGGCGTGGAGGCGGTAGGAGAGGGGCACGATGCTGGAAGGATAAGCCCAGAGGGCGAGGAGACCGCCGGCCTTGCCCGAGGCACCCGAGGCGATGGCGGTCGCTTCCAGGACGGTGACGCTGTGGATGGAGGGGTTGAAGGCGGGATGGCGAGTGAGGAAGTACGCTGTGGTGCAGCCGATGATGCCGCCACCTGCGTTGCGTTGTTGGGTTTAGTTTGTACATGCAGGATGAAGATGCCTTTGGGATACAAAATACACATGTTCTTCCATAGGACGTGCGTGCATACTGACCGATAATGACAATGTTCCTTTGCTGCCGTACCTCTGCCATGACTCTCACACTGGAGAGGTGGTACCGGTATACCGTATGGGAGGTGATGGTGGGTGATGGTGGGTGATGGTGGGTGATGGTGGGTGATGGTGGGTGGGATAGATGGTCCGTAATGGCTTTCATCAGATCATCAGATGGTTGGTGCAAGAAACAACGAACTCTCTCTCTCTCTTTCTCGGCGTCGGGTCGGCGTCGGGTCGGCGTCGGCGTCGGAGCATGATGAACGGCCAAACGAATATCCGATGCCGAAGTCGTCCCACTCCAATCAGCGTCATCGGAATGGTCTTATCGATAACGATGCAGGATAAGCTGTCCACTTCTGACTTCTGATATTTACTCCGCATCGAGTCGAATACGTCACCCGGGAAGCTTGATCATCCTTTTCCACATCGATTGCAAGGCGTCCTGGGCATCAGACTTCCGTAGGTACCGTATATACCGTATATACCGGTATATATATATACCTACTTACCCGTATATAAAGGTCGATGAGTCCCCACGCCCCTCCGTCTCTGCTACTGACTCTGTCACCATTGAAACCTGCCGCCCGAGCTCTGATTGCCCGTTCATCATCGTCAATACGAATACGAGGTTTTCCCCTTCCGGTGAAGATCGATTCGAGATTGCCCGTAACCAGGAGATCGAGATATTCGCATTCGCATTCGCATTCACATTCGCAATCCCACTTCTGTACCCAAACTCCAACACAAGCCCAATCCCAATCCCAATCCCAATCCCACCGAGCATCATTTGCAACCATGGCCTCCGCTACCAAATTCTACGACTTCAAGCCGCTTGACAGTAAGTGACATCGCCCTCGCTTGCCCCCTCCACGTTTTGTTTACTTGATTAAACGAACACCCTCCTCCACAGAAAAGGGCAACCACGTCCCCCTCTCCACCTATGCCGGAAAGGTCGTCCTCATCGTCAACACCGCCTCCAAGTGCGGCTTCACCCCCCAATATGAAGGTCTCGAGAAGATCTACAAGTCCCTCAACGCCACCTATCCAGACCAGTTCGTAATCCTGGGCTTCCCCTGCAACCAGTTCGGTGGGCAGGAGCCCGGGTCCGACGACGCCATCCAGGAGTTCTGCCAGCTCAACTACGGCGTCAGCTTCCCCATCATGGGCAAGACGGATGTCAACGGCGACAATGCCAGCCCGCTGTTCGAGTGGCTGAAGACGGAGAAGGCGGGATTGCTGGGCTTGAAGAGGGTCAAGTGGAACTTCGAGAAGTGGCTGGTGGGCCGTGACGGGAAGGTCAAGGAGCGCTGGGCGAGTACTTCGAAGCCGGAGAGTTTGGAGAAGGCCATCGTGGAGGAGCTGAAGAAAGAAGCTCCCAAGGCTGAATTGTGAGGAGTTGGGGGTCGTAGCATACCGGGTGGGCAATTGGCTACGGCAAACGTGCGTTGTCGTTCCGGAAATGTAGAGTAGGGAGACTTTCGGATAAAAGCGGAGGGAGGTCTACTGGTTACCCTTGGGGTTGGCAACAAGGGCTGTATAGAGCTTAGGACGTCGGTTCTCTCGGGAAGGGCAAGGGAAGTAATGAAATCAATAATCGCAAGAGATGTCGTTCATTGATTCTATGCTCTGCAGGTCCTGTCCTCCTCCTCAACCACCCACCCCCCTCTCGTCTCAAACCAACTTCCACACTCCCGCTTCCTCTACAATGCCCACCTCTCTCCCCTCATCCAGCGCCACTCTGCCCGCCTCCAGAATCGCCGTCGTCGCCACCGTATTCCTCAACGTCGGGAGGCCTCGCTGGTCCAGCACCTCGAGCGCCTCCGGCCCCTCGGCATTCACCTTCGCGCAGCCATCCACAAACTTCTCGAAGCTCACATAGCCGTAGCCGCCCTGGCCCGCGAAATTGCCCTCCTCGTCGGGCGCGTAGCGCATGTAGAACGGGTTGTACCACATGAGCTGGCCGACCGCGTCGTCGGCCACGTCGTACCCGCGCTTCGCCTGGTCGATGCGGATCTCGCCCTGGGCGCCCATGTAGTGGAAGGACTGGTTGGAGTGCACGCCGGCCTTCTGGGGCGCGGTCCAGGATGCCGTGAACACGGCCGTGGCCTGCTGGGCCGGCTCGCCCTTCCGGGCCCAGCGCACCAGCAGCGAGATGGTGTCCTCGGTCGCGGGATCGCAGCCCAGGGCGGCCGCGACGCCCTTGCTGGCCGAGGCCGAGACGCGTACGGGGGCGTAGCCGCGCGCCTGCACCATGGACTCGCAGATGTCCACGTGGTGCGAGTTGAGGTAGTACGAGATGTCCGAGTCGACGCCGGCCCAGGCCTTGAACGTCTCGAGCTGGCTCTTGGGCTGGCTCATGTAGCTGTAGAAGTAGTTGAAGGCGCCCAGGGACGGGGCCTTGAAGCGCGCGTCGGCGTAGGCCGGGTCGTAGCGCTTGTGGTGCTCGACGTAGACGAAGACGCCGTGCGCCTTGGCCGCGGCCAGCAGCGCCTGGTGGTGCGCGAGCGTCTTCACGGCCGGCTTGGTGAGGAGGACGTGGATCTTGCGCTCGATGGCGTACAGCGCGATCGGGTAGTGCGTGCTGTCCGGCGTGAAGATGGTGATGGCGTCGCCGGGCGCGAGAGCGTCGATGGCCGTCTTGTAGGCGAGGGGGTCGGTCGTGTCGTTGGCCGGGTAGCTCTCGAAGGAGGTGTCGAGGCCGTTGTAAAACTGGGTGATGTTTTTGTGGAGATGTTCGCCTTCCTTCTTCGTCAGTGGTTATACATTTGTTTACATCGGCCGATCCTAAGCGAGCGTAGACAGGACTTGAGAGAGGAGTCGTGGATAAGTAATCACGGTATAACAGAATACGTACGGATCGCAGGGAATTTCCCTCCCGATGTCCCAACCATCGACAGCTTTCCCACCTTCCCGCGTCGCCGCAGATCAAACATGGTAAGGCCGACGACGCCGACCTTCTTGTCTGAGCTCGAAGCACCCCCGCCTACAAACCCGGTGGTATACTCGCCGGTCCCGACCATAAGGACATTGAGGGGCTTAATTGGGGCCGCCATAGGGAAGGAAGTCAGTGAGTGCTTCGATTGGATGTATAAGTACGTTTGATTTGAATGTCGAAAGGGGGTTTTGTAAACCTGAAGATTCGCAAGGCTTGTACAGTACAAGCGTTGTCGAGGATTAGAAAGCGAGGGTGGGAAGTCCTTAAAAAATAAAGAGTCTGGATAAAGAGAGAGGTGGTCATATATGTATGATAAGTATATCAATGTTTACCCTCTCGGGTTTTGGCGGGGAAATAGAGGGGTCGAGCTGCAATCATCCGGCGCCAGGCTCTTTCTTCTTTTTTTTTTTTTTTTTTTGATTCTTCCTGCTCCTGGCTGCAGACATTCTGATATTTTGATACATATGTTATCAATTACCTAGAATTTCTTTAGCCGCTTATTGCTGCGTTTGGGGGGAGTTTTTTTTTTTTGTTTTGTTTTGTTTTGTTCAAAAAATCTTTTTGAGTTCAGCCTGTTCGTTTTATCAAGATCTCGCCCGATCCCCCCCACCACACTCCCCCACTATATACCACAAGGGGCATCCGTGTTGGTGGAAGAATTATGCTCCGTCACGTAGGCACGTCTTTCATCACTCAGCTGCATCTTTCATGTAACTTCCCTGTAGCGTTATCAAGGTTGGCGGTTGATTATCGAGAGTTTTGAATTCAGGAGAAAAGTACTTACGTAGATAAATTCATGTACCATTCTCCTAGTCTAGCGGTCAGTGATTCATGATTACAAGTGCGAAGGCGGGCGGATGAAGAGGAACTCCGTTTTTGAGTCGTATATATATACGAAGGGGGGCAAGGGTTCGCTTTGGAGCATCAATGCAACAGGGCCATGATAAGTAAAATAGCTCGGTTATATCCTGCAAAAATCAAAGGGGCAAGAGGGAGAGTAAAGTGTAGAATCTCGTTCATGATTTAACTCTCCTCCCCCCCCCTGAACTCCGACATAGCATCCACATCTCGACAAACCATCTTCAACATCAAGCGACCGTGGTATAGATCCTACTGCTTGGGCCCCTCCTCGCCCTCTCTCCCCCACGGTAACGAAAGTAGCGCTTCACTTCCAGCTCGAGGGCCCAAAGGTCCCATTCGCGACCTTCTGCACGACCGCGTTCCAGTCCCCGTTGTTCTGGAAGCCGCCTCCCCAGCCTCCCCACCACTGCGGGCTCGTCACCGTGTTGGGGAGCTGCAGCGCAAAGAAGATGAGCAGGACGCAGATGATGGTGCCGGAGTCCAGGGCCGCCGAGGTGATGAAGTTGTACTCGGTCCACCACGCCAGATGCCGCCCCTTGATGTACTTGTTGAAGATGAATCCCGTGATGCCCCAGGTGGCGTAGGTCATGGGCGTCGCGGGCGGGATGTAGGCCGTGCCGCCGAAGATGATGGGCGTGTTGATATAGCGGAGGTTGGACTTGGGGAACCTGCGTGCGAGAAAGTACATGAGGACCGGGGCGCCGAGGCCCAGGATGAAGAAGTAGAGGAGCGGGTGGTAGACGCCGTCGGTGCCGAAGATGCGCTGGGGGCCGATGGTTCCCCAGATGATGGAGGCCGTGAAGAAGACGTGTGCGTTAGGGCAGGTGTAGTTGTTGGCCTGCTCGGGCGTGCAGACGCCGTCGATGGAGCCGAGGGCCCAGTTGTAGACGGCGATCTGGACAATGCAGGACCACAGCGTGGCGATGAACTGGGCCCAGAAGGTCACCCGCTGCGGCACCTTCATATAGTGTGCCAACTTGATGTCCTGGGTGAAGTAGAGACCTTGGTAGCAGGTGATGTAGCCGTACATCTTGAACATCATCATCGCCAGCGGGCGTCCGGGCTGCATGTATCCGATGATGAACTCGGTAATGACATTCAGTCCGATCTGCGTGTTGGTGGTGGCTTGGATGATGCCGATAGGGAGATAGAAGAAAAAGGAGATGAAGAGGGCGACGATGAACGCCCACCAGGTCAGATGGGTCTCCCAGACGAGACAGGTTACGAGACCGAGGGCGAACATGACGACAAAACTACTGGCATACCTGGGGCGACGGACATTGTCAGTTGAGATCCAAGAAAATGAAGGTATTTGGGGATCAGTCGCTGGGAAACGTGACTTACCACCACCACGGTGCTTCCGCGTACTTCAGCATCATGCGTTGATGGATATCGGCTCCCACGCCTCGAGACGCCTTCCACTTGGCCCAGATCTCTTGCCCGTAGAACAGACCGGTGTGCATCACAACGGCAATGATGGTGGCAAAGGAGAGACCGTAGGCCATCGCGAATGTGGTTGATAAGAAAAGAGGCGAGTACCCTTGGTAGAGTTGGGCATCCAGGGTGTACTCAGGAGTCAGAATTCGGGAGACGTTGTAGGCCGCCCCGGTGTTGTCGAAACTCCCACCGGTCGACATGGGGAGGTATTCCGAGTAGAATGCCCCCGTGTAGTGGATTCCCAGGGAGGTGATGATGGTGAAGATGAGAACCCCGATCAAGGTGTTTGCAATGGCGTGCCAGGGGTAGACCAAGGGCGAGAGGACAAAGGCCGTGATAATGCTCCAGTCGAATGTGATTGGGATCAAGGCGAGTCCGGTCTGTCCTCCGAAAAGTTGGTTGACCACAACGTTGTTCGGAACCGCCCAGCAGACGAAGGTGAAGGCGCCCAGGAAAGGGGCGATGTAGAGCGGGAACCACTCCCAGACGAAGATGCCGACCATGACAAGAAGAAACCACTTGTAGCGACCCATCTTCCAGGTGCCGGTGTTGTGGGAAGCGAGTTGTTCGGGCGTCTTGCGAGTGTGGATGGTCTCGAACATGGTGGTGATGATCAGGTTTGAGGGCCAGATCATAGCCGCTGGCTCGACGAGCCATCTTCTCGTCAGACCGGCAAGACCGAGACCGAGCATCTGGCAGGTGATGGTCAACAGCAGTTGGTATCCCCAGCCAAACTTCTGACCGTAGTAGACTTCCTGGGCGAGGAGCACATCGGTGGAGTAGGCCGTGGTCCCTCCAAATGAGGCGTTCGCCATGATGATGATCAGGGTATGCTCCTTCATGTTGAACGGACCCCCGTTGAGTGACCAGGTGTAGCCGAAAGTCGTGAATCTCTTGGATGGCATGGCTGCAGGAGGTTGGAGATGTGAGCTGATGTTCTGGACTGAGTCGATTCTATCTAACTGACAAGGGAATCAGACACTTACCGTATTGCCAGGCGAGACCGACGGGGTATGAGAGGAGCAATGTCACGATTGGAGTCAGGTAGATCGATGGGTTGCGGAGGGAGAACAGCATGTTGACGGCGCTTCCAATCGTGCACCAAAGCATACCGAGGATCCACGCCCGGGGAGTGTTGGCGGGCATCTCCTCGTCGTAGTTACGGACAGCGGCGCGCACTTCGGGATAGGGTGAGTCCTGCTCGAGAAGAGCGTGCTCCACGGCCGCCTTCTTCTCGAGATCTCCTTCGTAAGCGGCGTCGATGGAATGGATTGCATCTTGGGGCAGGTTGGGATCCCATCTAGAGCTTCTCTTCAAAGCCCGGATATCTCTCTGGATAATGGTAGCACTGACCCCACTGTATTGACAGTTAGCTAGCTTCCAGACCAGCTGATATTCCCGAGTCGAGAGAGAGACGGGTGTCCATATATCCGTACTTGTCATCAGGGTCAGCTTCAATGCCCGTGGAGACACCAGTGGCTTCCTCTTCCTTCTTTCCCCAAAGCCGATCCATGATAGCGGTGGAGGTCGGTGGGCGAGTAGCGAACTTTCTCGCGAGACGCGATGAAGAGGGAAAAGGGGAAAGAAAAGTCCGATGTGTTGATGGACGACGACCTATATATGTGTGTGTAGATTTATATACACACAGATGTATAAATTACATATGTGTATGTACATATATATATCGGGCCGTACGGCATGCATACAAGAGATATGGAACGTCCTCGGCGATAGATCATCAGTGTTCCTGCGACCTTCCCCTTTGGCAGGGTTCGGGGGTTCGTTTGGCAATATCAGTACCAAGGAGTACCAACCACGTCTCTCGTATGTACATGTGTATATATCTTGTGGTATGATAGATGGTGTGATGTATAAGGACGAGGACGAGGATGGTGCTGTTGCTGTTGCTATTGCTGTTGTTGTCAATGTTTTGTTTTGTTTCTAGTCATCCAAATGTACATATTCATTAGCGAGAAGTCTTTGTTGACATTCATAAAAAAGCACTTGATGATGATTCTCATCCGCGACCAGTCTGCTGTACTGGATATCCATCCAGGTGTCCAAGGACTCAAGGAAAAGCCTCTTATCAGATAAGCATTTGGCTGTTGTTGGATTGGACAAGCCTCAACTCGCGTATGATCGATCGCATCGCTTGTATCTCAGCGGGATTCTTGTGTATCGGTCAGTTGCTGATCGCGAACAATCCGAAGCTGTTGAGTGGATCCTATCAGAACGGGGGGTTTGACTTTGTTGTGCGGCTCGTCGCGATAGGAAGGTGATACGGCTACAGCATCCTCTGTACTTGTTGATCAACATCAGTCTCGCCTATCACAGACTGACTATCCTTCCAGAACGATATGCGACCTTGAGCTGGACTAGTTTCTCTGGTCGAGTATCTCGACGTCGGCCAATAGACGATACTTGCCCCGATGAGCTATCCTCAAGTCAACAGTTCGATGAGGACTGACTGGTCATGAAATCATCATGCATGGTAGATATCGCGCCAGCAGACGCTGAATTTGTTGACACAAGCTTTCTTGGTGCAAAGACAAGCTTCTCCTGGGATACTACGCCACTGCCTGCAGCGATACCGAGAAGCAAGGTCGAAAGCTTATTCCATTATATACGGTACGGTACGGTTCCAATCGCACCCACATTCGCAAGATAGAGGAATTGACTTACTAACTGGTGTCAGTAATAGAGCGCCAACGCAGAGATAGCACAGATAATGACTTGACTTTCAACTATCCGGCTTAAAAAGTGGCTTTCGAAATCCTGGCTACCGTCATTCACACCACACGATTGATGAGGTCTCAAGCCACGAGAAAGAAACCGCGGATAGCAAGTGGGGTAGGAGAAAGCGCATGAGGACAGCGACGCAAGCAACAAGAAGCGGCTTAGATTTTTGCAAATTCCAAGCCCGGATTTCGAAACTGCACTTCTCAATAAGTCTGAAAAAGATGTCGAGCTTGAGTGAAGGCGTGGAGAAGAGCGAATGATTGGGCCCAGCGCGAAAGATTAATTGAGGATGCAGATGCAGATGCAGATGCAGATGCAGATGCAGATGCAGTCCGAGGGGACCGAGAACAGACAACTATTGCTGAGTGAAAGCCCGGGTCCGGAAACAACTTTGATGAACAAGTCTGCGGAAGAGTTGAAAGAGGTGAAGATACTACCAGTATACTGCGGCCAAGGGCAAAACGATAGATAAGATGCGGCCCGACTGGAGACAGGGCTCCCTAAGTACCGGTATGGGCATCGCGAACTCGAACCCCGTGACTTGGTGAAGTAACCTTTCGCAGTCCGTGTTTTCTGGTTTTTCAACATCGTTCAACCTTCCACTTCCACATCTCGGGATCGCAGCCCACGTCAAATCTGCGCATGGTATGTTCGTGGGCATTTTAGTAGGACGAAGCCAGGCACCTCGCCAGAGAGAGCGAAGAACCAAGAAGCGAGAAAACGCCCCTCGAATCCGAACGCTTACCGCGCGAAGAAGATGAGATGGTGCGTCTGAAGCGTAAAGTAGACGAGTGCGGGTCGTTGCACCCTCGGGGGAGGATCATGGAGGCGAAGCGGTTGAAAGGGAACACAGCGAAACAAACCTTTATTTCGTCTCATGGTCGTCGGCAGCTCGGCCACCAGCTTACGGATGTCGGTCCAGTCCGCGAAGATTGATGTTCACCGTGTCCACAAGTCGCGAGACCCTTACCTCGAGCACGAGAAGATGTGGCGAACGACTGCTCTTCATCGCCATGAGGAGTCCAGAAAGACTTACGGCGAGGTATCGATGGGTCTGAATCAAACCCGGTCTTGGGATAGTGATGCACAATCAAAGATGTAGTTCTCGGTGGAGCTTGAGCCGGAGTCGAAGACTTCCACCAGAACTCGGTAACCTCGCACGCAGCTTGAATCCTTTGCGTCTTGCACTCCGGCATTAAGTAGCTGGCCAACCATTGCCGGTCGCCGATGGCTTTATCAGGTTCACAGGTCTTCGAGCGCCTTGCCGCCTACGATGCCTTCGCGACGGAGTACACAACATGGTAGAATAGCGGTCGGAGCGGAAGCGTTCGAGAGTGCGGTGGAAGTCCTGAAGGGTATCACTGAGAGAGGCCAGTCACAGTCACCTGGGACATAAATAATATACTAAAATGATATACCGATAATATATGCGGCGTGCGACTGACGCCTTTAGGCACAGAGGAATTCGGCGTTCCTCCTGTTCTGATAACCGGCTGCACCTCAGAAACTATGCTCTCCATTCCATCGCAGAAATACCCGCAAAGCATCAAAAAACATCCAGAGAGCAAAAACTCTTGCGAAAGGATTTCAACTAGACTTAATACTCGACCACGATTTAACGCAAGTCCGTATTCTCTCAAGGAGCCACGTACTAAAGAATCCAACCCTTTTCAAGAACCACAATCACCTTGACTCCAAAAAGAGACGTGAACAGAAAAAGAATCAGCATAGCCAATGTTCCATTCAGAAGTGGAACCAAAAAGCAGTGGAGACAAGGGGAATTGAACCCCTGACCTTTCCTATTCTCTGCTACCGATGCAGCGTGCGAAAGGAAAATCATACCCCTAGACCATGTCCCCGATTCCACATAGCAATCCCGAATTCAAGAGACATTATCATGTAACGACAAAAATTTCTCAGAAGTGGGATAGCGCAGCCGATATAGAGCCGAAGTCAGGACGAGGGCAAGCGTGGAGCGGCGGGGTGGCGCGCGTTAGAACATCAGAGAGGAGCAAGCATATCAAAGCTTTGATCTCTCTCTCTCAATTGACTATCAGAATCTTACGCCGTCGATAACATCGTTGGTTTTAAGCATGCTTGCTGACTGTACCACAATGACAGCTTTTAGTTGTCCGTCCGCATGAATGAATTGATAAATGCATGAATGAATTAAACCTTTCATGCAAGCGATTGTCGCTTTGGACACCTAGGTATATATATCTTTTATTAACAACATTTAAGAATGTAACGCTTTGACAGATTTATCTTAAGGACCAAGCTAGTTTTTACTTTTGTTTTTCTCTCTCTTTCTTTTGTTCTTCTTTATGGTATGTAGAGCTGATTGCTATGACTGGTGGATAGTATATATATATATAGGTATATATTGATAATGATTATCTTTGCTTGCTTAATCGTCTCAAATATTCAAATATATATATATATATATATCTAGCCACATGTCAACCAACGGACTGTGTCTACCAAGTACATATCTGGATTGTGGATAACAGTGCCTCGGGATTTTGGCAATGTATATATATGTGTCGTCGAAGGAAGCTCGCCTCACGGAATCTATGGGTTGATTCATAATTACTGTCTATCTTGTCTAGAAGAGATTCTGTAGCGATACGGTGTTGACTTGCTGGTACTACGGGGGTTGCCTCTCGAAGATCATGAAGTATCAATTGGATATATGCATTCCGACCTGGTAAATGTATTCCTCCTTCAAATTCATGCTCGACTTTTGGTATTTCCTAAACGCCAACCTATCCATTCCCATCTTATCCCATATCCCATCCAAGCCCGCACAATGAAACCTAACGCCAGCTTTCCAAGTTGTGCAACACGCAGCCCTCGCCGTCCCTTTTCACCAGCTGGCCAATAGTGAACACCGTCTCGCCTGCAGCCTCCAAGGCTTTGGCGACCTCTGCGGCATTCTCTTTGCTAACAACCATCACCATCCCAATACCCGTATTGAACGTCCGGCCCATCTCTGTAGCCGAGACATTGCCAGCCTTCTTCAACCATTGGAATACAGGTGGTAGACTCCATTTCGATACGTCGACTTCGGCCGCGAGGTGATTGGGCAGCATACGAGGGATATTCTCAGTCAAGCCACCGCCTGTGATGTGCGAGAGGCCTTTCGTGATACGCTTCTGGATGACGGACAAGAGAGGTGTGACGTAGATGCGTGTTGGCGTTAACAGACTGAGACCGGTCGAAGTTGAAGGGTCCCACGGCGCAGGAGCATCGTACGACAAGTTCGCTCTCGCCACAATCTTGCGGACGAGAGAGAAGCCATTCGAATGCACGCCATTGCTCTTCAGCCCTAACAGCACATCACCTTCAACCATCGCATTCTTCAACGGGAGCACGAGCTCCTTTCTCACAGTTCCGATGGCTGCGCCTGCTGCATCGTAGTCCTCGTCCTTGTACATACCCGGCATCTCGGCAGTTTCGCCTCCAACGAGAGCACATCTCGATTGCCGGCAGCCCTCGGCGACACCTTCAACAAATGCGGCGGCGTGCTCGGGGTTGAGCTTGCTGCAGCCGTAGTAATCGAGGAACATCAGAGGTTCTGCGCCTTGCACGACGAGATCGTTGACGTTCATCGCTACCAGGTCAATGCCTACTGTATCATGCTTTTTCATGATTTGTGCAATCATGAGTTTGGTTCCTACGCCGTCGATTGCACCAACCTAAGGGGTGTCAGTATGAAAAGTCACCAAATACGGTGTGGGTGAAGTGAGGTACGTAGTATTAGAATGCCGAATATCGTGCTTGTGCATAGTACATTCAGACTTACCATGACGGGTGCACCAGGATACCCAGCCCCTTCCAAGTCAACCTCTCCACCAAATCCACCGATCACAGCATCAGCACCTGGTCTTTTGGTAGATGCAACGGCCTTCAGAAAAATCAGCATCCCTTCGGAGCGCGTTTTGCGTTTGGTCATCAACTTACGGCCTTGATCCGCTCTACAAACTCGTTTCCACCCTCGATACTCACTCCGGCTGAGGCGTAGGTCAGGGCTTCCTGGGTGGCAGTTTGCTTGAAAGCTCTATGAGCGATGTCCCTTCTATAGAACATCTTCTCGAATTTGATAGAGTCGATTCCTGATGAAAATTAACATTTTTTCTTTAAAAAAAGATGAATCCAAAGATCCAAGTTCAGTCTGGGTTCTTACCGGTGTACGCATCCTTGACAGCCTGTTCCAGAGTCTCGGCAGTCGCTTGCGCAGCGATTACTCGGCCACCAGAAGTCTGGAGTTGTCCATCCAGGATCGTTGTCCCCGCATGGAAGATGTTCGTTCCTGCAGCTGGGGAATTCACAGTCATGGGAGTACCCTTCGCGTAAGTCCCTGGGTATCCACCAGCAGCCACTACGACAGTTGCACTAAACTTGTTGTCGACTTTGAGATCTAAAGAGTCCAGTTCTCCAGCAACGCATGCAAGCATGATCTCTGCAAGGTCTGTATCCTTGCTCATCAGAGGCAAGAGAGTCTGGGTCTCTGGGTCTCCAAATCGAACATTGTACTCCAACACTTTTGGACCGTTTTTGGTGATCATAAGCCCGGTGAACAAGGTGCCGACCATTTTCATCCGCTCCTTTCGCATGCCGTCGATCGTGGGTTGTAAAATGGTCCGCTCGATCTCCGCAATCAGTTCCTTCGATGCGATCTTGGTAGGCGCATAGCATCCCATCCCGCCAGTGTTTGGCCCTTGATCTCCATCGAATATTCTCTTGTGGTCCTGGGCCGGCGGAAGCGACCAAATGGTGTGCCCGTCACTGAAACTCAGAATACTGAGTTCGTCGCCTTCCAGGAATTCTTCGATAACCACTTGGTCTCCAGCAGTTCCAAATTCCTTGTCCAACATAATCTCCTTCAATGCTGCTTGAGCTTCCTCCTTGGTCGTAGGGATAATAACACCCTTCCCAGCAGCCAGTCCATCCGCCTTGAGCACAACATTGTGGTCGATACTATCGAGGTATTTCTTCGCAGATTCGTAATCAGAAAAGTTCTCGTAGGCAGCCGTTGCGATGTTGTTTCTCTTCATGAAGTCCTTGGAAAATGTCTTGCTTCCCTCCATTCGTGCAGCAAGTTTTGAGGGGCCATAGCATGGGATGCCGGCTGCACGGAAGTATCCTTCGATACCGTCAACTAATGGGGCCTCCGGGCCGGGAACGACGAGATTGATGTTGTTGACTTGGGCGAAGGCGACGAGGCCTGGGTAGTCGTCTGCCTAGGAGAGAGGTCAATTTTGAAAATCATAAATTGGCTCTGGAGCATTGAGGTCCCACCTTGACGCTGGAATCATTGAAGGTCTTTGGGCAAGTCGCAGTACCTCCATTTCCTGGAACCTACGATAGATTTAGTCAGCATATGTATTCAACCTCTTTATCAACATTCAGGCCGCGTTGAAGTTTGGATCCTACTTACAGCGATGATAGACTTTACCCGGGGAGACTGGCTCAGTTTCCAGGCAAGGGCGTTTTCGCGGCCCCCATTGCCTACCAGTAGAATGCGAAGTGAATCCATTGTCGATTGTCCGTAGGGAGTTGTCGCAAGGAAGTTGGGGATTTTGGGATTTTCAGAACATCAAAATTTAAATTTATTTGAAGGCCGAGGTGGGGTCAGGAGGGGTCGGTGGTCGGTGGTCGGTGGTCGGTAGTGGGGGTTGGGGGATAATTAACGATGGTCTAGACCGCATCGGGTGAAGTTTATTGAGAAGCGAAAAGAATGACCTAATTGAGTAGGTAGCCTACCTGTAAGTAGGTATGTAGCACGTGGACTCTTGATTACTAACTTAAGAAGATTAGGTAATATGGGTAAATCGCAAATATCAACTAAGAGACGGATGGTTCAATGACCACATACGGTACCGGTACTATACAAATAAAATGGGGGTGAATGAGGTGTTTCCGTATTGAAAGAGAGGAGCTCAGCTAAAACTACACCTGGAGCTAGTCCCCACCGTACTCCGTACCTTCCCAACCGGAATTGAACGTCAGTACAGGTACAGCTACAGTACTGACAGTAATCTTCCCTCCACCACCGAGATCTGAACACTACAACCAAAAATCCGCAAATACCATGATCACCATAAGCTCGTCTCCCTCTCCCCATCTTATCCCATGCAAGAACCACATCTAACGAACAACCCTCTCTTCCGCAGAAGTTCCTTGCTCCTCCGCCAACATCGGCCCTGGCTTCGACGTAATCGGCCTCGCACTCTCCATCTGGCTCGAAATTCGGGTATCGATCGACAGCTCCACCACCTCGCAGGCACCACTGAACTGCGTTATCAGTTACGAGGGCGAGGGCGCGGACGAGGTACCGCTGGGCGCGGACAGAAACCTCATTACGCGCACAGCCTTGTACGTGCTGCGGTGCCATGGGCAGCGAGCCTTCCCTTCGGAAACGAGAGTCCACATTGTAAATCCTATCCCTTTAGGTCGAGGGCTGGGGAGTTCAGGGGCAGCGGTCGTAGCCGGCGTGGTACTCGGGAACGAGGTGGGGAAGCTGGGGCTGTCGAAGGCCCGGATGTTGGATTACTGTTTGATGATTGGTATTGCTCCCCCAAGGCCTCGCCCTTTGAGTTCACTTTCTGTTACATGGAATGCATAATCTGTACTAATGGTTTCTCTGCGTGTTAATAGAGCGCCACCCAGACAACGTCGCAGCGGCCCTTTATGGCGGCTTCGTCGGTACCTACCTCAACGACCTCTCCCCTGAAGACACCTCGCGCAAAGAGATCCCCCTCAGCGAAGTCCTGCCCGAGCCAGCCGGTGGCCTGGATACCGGGTTCGCGCCTCCCGAGCCTCCCCTCGGCATAGGCCACTACATGAAATTCCCTTGGGCAAAGGAGATCAAAGCCATAGCCATCATCCCGCAGTTCGAGGTCGCGACTGCAAAAGCCAGGTCGGTGCTGCCGGCCTCGTATTCGAGGGCGGACGTAGTCTTCAACCTGCAGCGGATAGCGCTACTGCCGAGTGCACTAGGCAGGAGTCCGCCGGACGCGGAGCAGATCTATCTCGCGATGCAGGATAAGGTGCACCAACCGTATAGGAAGGGCTTAATTCCTGGGCTGCCGGAGATTCTGCAGAGTGTGACGCCAAAGTCGCATCCGGGGCTTTGCGGAATTTGTTTGTCGGGGGCTGGTCCGACTATTTTGGCACTGGCGACGGAGAACTTTGATAGCATCGCGAAGGTCATTCTGGAGATGTTTGCGAAGAAGGATATCAAATGTGATTGGAAGCTGCTCGAGCCGGCGGAAGACGGCACGACAGTCACTCATAGCTAGACGACCTAAACATACCCCCGATGATGTTTGGATTGTTTGCATTCAAGTGACTCGCAGGTGCCTCCTCGCCATCTTACAAAAAGCTGCAATTAAGCTCGTTGCCCAGATCCAAGTGAGCAGGTAGAATTTGAATGCCAGCTCGATAAACCAGGCCACAGACCATCAACGCCCGAAATATTCGTCCAAAACAAGGGCAAAGCCACTCCTACTACAGATGCCAGAGCTAGGATGCTGCGACAATGTAGGCACAGTAACTCCTAATGCAGAACTGGGCTCTGCTACCGCGATATAGCAACAGCGCCTCCGTACTCATTTCATACGACACCTCGACCTTCGCAACCGGATCTAGATACCGCCACCCCACGCGCCTCGAATTCTCCTTGCCAATTGAATATCTTTTTGCATGATCGTAACCCTCTTTGCGTGGATAGCACTGCGAATTGTCAAGTTAGCAGCATCCTTCCGTACCACTTGTGTCCACAGCGTCGCTCGCCCGAACCACCACCAAAGATCCCCGAACGCGCCAGAATTATCTTACCAGAGATTCGTATCCTCAAACAAATGCACCAGAAAGGCCTCGGACGCCTCCTGCAAAGCCTGGATAGCCTGCGACTGCCATCTCATGCCCGATCCCGCCGGTCGCAACGTCAGCGCAATCTCCCTGACCTACTCCGCATCAGCTCCTTTGCGCATCTTCTCTGTACCCATCTACCCCGATGTATAAAACTCACGAGTCTCGAGAACGGAAGCTTCAGCACCAGTAGCTCCGTACTCTTCTGGTACTTGCGGATCTCCTGCAGCGCCTTGGTACCCGGCTTGTAGCGACGCTTCTTGCGAATGGCGGGGAGAGGGTCGCCTGCTGTTCATTCGCACTGCAATCAGTATGCGCTTTCGAAGACAAAGTACGCCAATTTTGGGTGGATCGAACTTGTATGGGACGTACGTTGAACCGCGCTGGCGCGTTTTGGAGGCATAGCTGGCAGAGTCTTGCCGCCGGATGGTCGCCCCTTCTTGCGTCCTGAGCCTGGTGTTGATGATGATGATTCACCGGCATTGAGGCGCATGCGCTGCTTGCTTGCCATTGTTGATTTAGGATTGGAATGCGGGCGGGACGCAAGGGACGAGGAATGTGAGGAGGAGCGTGGGGGGAGACTGGCGCGTTCGAGGTCGAGGGTCTCTGGTGGACGCGACAGGACTTCTCAATAAGACATAAAAAATGCGCCGGATGGATGGCCGGAGATGCGCGCAATTTCGAATGTCGTGAATCCCGTGAAGAAATGCGAGGATTGAAGATCCGGGACTCTGAAGGTTCGAGATGAGGATCTCGAGTCGCGACATCGAGCTCGCCGGTGTTTACTTTGGGTTTCATCCGAGGGTGGGGCGATAAAGATATCTTATCGGACAACAGGAAGTGGCCACTTCAACAACGACACCTGTCTCCGATTGATTGCAACAAAGAGAAGAGGGCAGCCCAACGCTCTCTGCCCACGCTCTTCCCACGCTCTTCCCACGCTCTTCCCATCATCTCATACATTCAATCCTCACTCTCGCTCAGGAATTTATGGCCTCATCTGCATCTGCGACCTAAACAATACACTGACAGTAGTTTCCTGCAATACATTACAATACGATACGATAAGACAGGATACGATACGATCGATCAACGGACAGCTGCCAGAGCAAACGCCAGAGCAAACACCAAAATGGACCAGATGATGGGCGGAGCAGAAGGTGGTATGGGCGGCATGGGCGGCCAAGCTGGCTTCCCTCTCGAGCAATGGTTCTGGGACATGCCGCTGTGCACGCGATGGTGGACGACGGCGACGGTGATGACGAGCGCGCTGGTGCAGTGCCAGATTGTGACGCCGTTCCAGCTGTTCTACAGCTTCAGAGCCGTGTTCTCCAAGTGGCAGGTACGCGCCCTCGTTCGTCTGATATATAATGTGGTCCTATGGTCCTCGGGGCATGGAAAGGAAGGGATGTGATGCGTTGTTCCTGATGCTAATAACATGAGAGGAAATAGTACTGGCGCCTTCTAACCACTTTCCTCTACTTCGGTCCTCTCTCCCTCGATCTCGTCTTCCACGTCTTCTTTCTGACCCGCTACGCGCGACTCCTCGAGGAGTCCTCCGGCCGCTCTCCCGCCCACTTCTCCTGGCTCCTGCTCTACAGCACCACCTGTCTCATCTGCCTTTCTCCCCTTGTGTCCATGCCCTTCCTCGGCCATCCCCTCAGCTCAACTCTCGTTTACATCTGGTCGCGCCGCAACCCCGATACGCGGCTCTCCTTCCTCGGCCTGCTGGTCTTCACAGCCCCGTACTTGCCGTGGGTGCTGATGCTGTTCAGTCTGGTGGTGCACGGCGTGGTTCCCAAGGACGAGATCATGGGCGTGGTGATCGGGCATGTGTGGTACTTCTTCAGCGACGTGTATCCGCCCTTGCATGGGGGAAGTAGGCCGTTTGATCCGCCCAGGTGGTGGAGGAGAATCTTTGAGGGACCTCCAGCGGAGATTACAGCCGACGCGCCGGACAACGAGATTAACAATGAGATTGCTGTTGCAGCAGCTCCTGACGCGGAAGTCAGATAGATACACCTCGACCGGCTGACAATGCGTTGGCAGGCATCATTTGGAGTTACAGGTGGTAGGCAGGCAGGGCTTGCTTGGTTAGGTTTGCAAGAGCATAGGGCAGAGGCGTTTACTACAAATGATACCATTCCCTCAGACCAGACTGCCTATGTGTCATGCTGTGCTGCTTGTCCCGAGCTTTCGCCCGCGTCTTCCTGTTCTTCAAGCTCGCCAGCTGCAACGGGGAAATGCAGATGCTTCCAGTCCTCCAACTCTTCAATGACAGACCGTAGTCGGTCCCTAATGCTCTCAATAGCATAACTGCCCAGCAACAGCCTCAGCGGGGGATACGAGCAATGTCCTAACTGCCATACCAACTCCGCACACTTCACAGCACTAGTCGGCTGCTTGTCCCCCAGCCACTGCACCATCCTCTTTGCATGCAGCGCCGGGCTCGTAGCATGCGAATACGGCTCGCTAGCCGGCCGGATCAAAAAGTGCCCCCAAGTGGGCAGCGGGCTCTTTTCCCAATCCGGCTCATCCCTCCTGACCAGCCCCGGCTCCACAAGCGTGGCCTTGATATTGAACGAGTCAATCTCATACAACATGGCCTCGATGAGTCCCTCGACCGCATATTTCGTCGCACAGTACGGTCCCAGCCCCGGCACGCCCAATGCACCGCTCGTCGAGCTAAAGATCAAGTACCTGCCTGCGCCCTGCTCCCGGAAATACGGCAGGCTGAGCTGGATGATGTTCAGCGTGCCCATGAAGTTCGTCTCGAACTGGTTGCGCAGCTCGTGGTCGTCCTGGTCCTCGCACGCGCCAATGACGCCGTAGCCCGAACAGTTGACGATGGTGTCGACGTGGCCAAAGTGCTTGATAGCCGCCTCGATCACCTCGTTTACCGACTCGCGCGCGCGCACGTCGCAGAGCGTACCCAGACAGTTGGGATGCCAGTTCTGCATCGAGTCGAGCGTGTTCTCAAAGGTGCGGCCGACGGCGCAGACCAGGTCGCCTTGGTTGAGACAGGAGCGCACGAGGCTGCGACCCATGTGTCCTGTGCTGCCGAAGATCTGGGAGGCCGTCAGTTGAGATGTGCAGTATTATATGTTATATAAGAGAGCGGTTTAGGGATCCAGGACGGCCATCCAGCACTTAATTGACGGAACTGCTTATGAATGATTCATACTCACAATCCATACCATTTGTTTCGCCGGATTGCCTATCCCCGGTGGATCGCAGCTCACGGGTAACTGCAGCTTTGCTTTCGTGTTTGGACCGTCTGCGGGTGACACAGAGGAAGCAGGCAGCTCACTATGGTTGAGGGTGTCGTCGAGCGAGGCCTCGATGTTAACGTCGCCCTCGGTCTGAAAGCGATCCATCGCTATCCACCTTCGCCTGATTATCTGGTAATTGCAATTGCCTGCATGCTGCTGGGGCGAGGAGGTTGAATATTGTTAGAATATTGGACTGCCGCCTATATTCCCTTGTATGGACTAGCCTCTTGGCTGTTCCTTAGGTACACCTGTACTATAGCTCTCAGTACTCTCACGCCTAATCTACTACACCTTCTGCACTCCTGATTCTATTATGGTAGCAATTTAATAGAATCAGAAAACCTTAAAAGCCTCAATCAAATCTCAAACAAACAAACAATCAATTCAAACCTACCTCTTTAACTATAGTCAACTTACACTCATAACAATCCTCCCTTATACCACCGAAAATCATTAATGCCGCTAAAAGCTATATTCGAAGACGAAGAGAAACGCTTGCTAACAAAGGACAATTACTACCTCTAATCGTCGGCTCGCTTAGGTGGGCCTCCTTTCAGCCTTTCAGTCTTAGTCGGTATAAGCGATTGCGGATCGGAAGCGAGTGCGGATTTTTTATTTTACTACTAGTTTTCGTATATAAAATACAATTCACAATATCACTTTTTGATCCACAACCGCACAACTCAATTGTATTTTACAATCAATCATAGGCCGAAAACGCACTCGTTCGTTCGATATAAAAGCCACGCTCAACCAAGTAGTCCTAATGCAATTGAAGATCTGCAAAACAATAGCGAATCGTCGATAAGGTTTAAAAAGAAGAAAGAGATGTTAAGTATCGTAAAAGAGTCGATTCACGCAAAGCTAAACACGAGCGTAAAAGGATTATACGAGAACGCCTTGTTGCAAGTTTAATTATTGAAAACGACGATACAATACTTATTTTAATTCTCGATTCGAAAGAGATTTAGTAGATGCAATAACCTTTTAAACGTTAACTTTTGCGGCCTCGTAAAAAAGGTATTCCTCGACCAACTCTTTCTTAACCCGAACTTTCTTACGATAACGATAATCTGATAATTATAACCGATACTATTAAAGACCCTTCTTTAAAGCAAGATGTTTTTCTTTTTTCTAGTATTAATATCGATAGCGATAGTTTCAATTCTATGGTGACAGATGGCGTATACCTAGGTAGGTGGAGCAGATCAAGGTCTAAGAGATGGCGATAGAAGTGTCTGATCTATTCAGGGGAGCACGGGAGCAACTGTAGATATGTACATGTGTGGTACGTGGCCTCTAAGGAGCTTGGCAGGCACGTGCAAGGGAGCACGTGCTAGGCCACGTGAGGAGCACGTGCAGACCACACTGTGCAACAAATTCTAATAGTAATAGAGATTCAAACGATTCGTTGCGTAAAGTAAGTGTCGGTATATCCATATCGACCTTAGCTAGTAGTAGTAGTAGTAGTAGTAGTAGTTGGGGAGTTCACCCGTGAACCAGGGTTCACGGGCCACTTGGCATGCCTCGCTTAGCATGTTAGCAGTCAAGGGACCCCCAACTTGACAAGTAAACTTATTAGCTAGCTAGTGCACGTGATTCCTTCTAATCATATAAAAGGAATCAGCTCCCTTGAGCTTTAAAGAGCAGACAGAATTCAAATACTTTATCAACCGAGTGTTTTGTAATTGCAAGTACTTTAACTGTGACAGCCTGCCTTGTTACTTGCATCAGCTGATCACCCATCCAGGCCTAGCGCTTGTAGCTATGTATATAGACCTTCCTGAGCTCCTCGAGCTTCTTGTTTCCTTTCTTCATTTTGTATTTTAAGGTCAGAATTTATTAGTTCGTTATATTATATAAAGTCTTTCGATTAGGTCGTCGTATTATAGCTTATTGTTATTGATTATTGTTATAGCTTACAGATTACGGCTTATTGATTATTGTTAAGAACGGAGTGAGTTATTTATTAAGTGCTCTACGGTCTTCTTTTATTGCTTATAAATTATTGTCTTTTTTACGACCTTACTTTTTCTTTAGCTCTTTCGACTTAAAAAAGCTTCTTTTAATTTTTGCATTTCGGTTGCAAAACGAATTCTTTTTTTTTTTTTTTTTTTTAGCGTTTCCGACACTTAAACGCCTTCCTTTTCTTTATTCTACTATTTGTGACGAACTGATGAATTCTGACCTTGGAATACAAAGTGAAGAAAGGAAAACAAAAAGCTCGGGGAGCTTAAGAAGGTCTATATACATGGCTATAAGCGCTAGGCCTGGATAAGTGATCAGCTAATGCAAGTAATAAAGCAGGCTGTCACACTACCTTTTTAAAGAGCTGTTTTAGCTTTTTTAAAAGTACTTGCCAAAAGAAAGGAAAATAAAAAAAAAATTCAATCGTAAACCATGGTTTACGAGTAGAATTGCTGAAAAAAAAAACTAAAAAATACGCCGAAGCTATAGATCGCGGTAATCGTTAAGGTTAGCGTCGTAGCTTCTAGAAGCGTTCCATTCCGCTAAAATTTCCTTTTTTTCGTCCGAGTCGAACTCGCTTAAACTTTTATTTTCTTTGACGAGTCGGTCCGAAAAAGAGTCTTAAAGAACTCGTTTCTTTATCAAAAGCTTAGCTAAAAAGAAAGTATAGCTAGCTATTTAGTAGTCGATTATACCGTAACGAATATAGCGATTTGATTTGCGCTAAGCTTCGCGCTAATCGAAAGTGCTATAAAAAGCATGCTAAAGAGTAAAGTATCGGTTTTCTAATAGCTAAGTTTGATTAGCTTCGTAAGCGTCGATAAGCTTTATAACGCCGAGCTCGTTAGCGTACTGCAATTGCTCGAGTTGTTAAGCGCGGTCGATTACTAAAAGGTCTATTAAGTCGCCGAGAAGAAAGCTCGTTGACGTGCGAAAGCGGTTTTAAAAAAGGGCTGATAGAGCCGAAAGTCGAGAAAATCCGTAAGACAAGCCGGAAAGACCGGAAAAGCCGGAAAAGCGTTCAAGCTATTAAGTGACGTGTACGTATTCGGTATACGTAGTTAAAAGAGTCAATTAGCTATTTAAACGGGTCCGTATAATTAAGTTCAAACTATTGCGGAACGCAATAATCTTATTAACGTCGAGCTAAGTTTGATAACGAGCAACGTGCAAAAGTCGTTCGAAGCGTAAGACGTAAATATAAAAAGCGTCCGTACTTTGCTTGCAAGCAAGCAGCTTATCTTTAGCCTTTTGAATTTTGTTTAAATTGTCGTAAGCGAAAGCGAGCTGATCTAAAAGAGTATTATAATCTTAATTGCCGGAGTCTTAAGCTAAAGCTAATTGAATTAAAACTATTGCTTAAATACCGGGTTTTATATTAAAGTAAACGTAATAAAACTGCGCAATAAGTCCGCTAAAAGCTTTACCGTCGACGAAAAGCTTAGCTTTGATTAAAAGAAGCTAAGTATTTTATTATTGAACCGTACCGTTGAACTTATCGAGATCCGGAAGGACGCATTTGCGCTAGCGAAAGGCCGTTCGTAATTGCTTTACGAAAGACTTTAATTAAGCGATTCTCGTAAGAAGAGAAGGGCCGTCGTCTTCGTAAAAGGACATGGTAGTAGAATGAAGAAAAGGGGGGCGTTTAAGTATCGGAAACGCTAAGAAAAAGAATAGAGAAAAGAGTTCGTCTTGCAACCGAAGTGCAAAAATTGAAGAGAGCTCTTTTAAGTCGGAAGAGCTAAGGAAAAGGTGAGGTCGTAAAAAAGATAATAATTTGTAAGTAATAAAAGAAGACCGTAAAGCACTTAACAAGTAACTCACTCCGTTCTTGACAATAATTAATAAGCCGTAATTTGTAATAATAAGCAATAACAATAAGCTGTAATACGACGACTTAATCGAAGGACTTTATATAATATGACGAATTGATAAATTTTAACCTTAAAATACAAAGTAAAGAAAGGAAAACAAGAAGCTCGGGGAGCTCAAGAAGGTCTATATACATGGCCACAAGCGCTAGGCCTGGATGGATGATCAGCTGACTGCAGGTAACAAAGCAGGCTGTCACACTATTATATCTTTTTACGAAGACGACGGCCTTTTTTCTTTTACGAAAATCGCTTAATTAGAATCTTTCGTAAAGCAATTACGAATAGCCTTTCGCTAACGCAAATGCGTCTTTCCAGATCTCGATAAGTTCAACGGTACGGTTTAACGGTAAGATACTTAGCTCTTTTTAATTAAAGCTAAGCTTTTCGTCGACGGTAAAGCTCTTAGCGGACTTATTACGCAATTCTATTACGTTTACTTTAATATAAAACCCGGTCTTTAAGCAATAGTTTTAACTCAATTAGCTTTAGCTTAAGACTCCGGCAATTAAAATTATAATACTCTTTTAAATCAGCTCGCTTTCGCTTACGATAATTTAAATAAAATTTAAAAAGTGTGACGACCTTAAGCGATTACCTGAAGGAACTCACGGGAGCGCGGGGGTTCACATAAGAGCTTAAGAGAATCTCGAAGTAATAACTTAGAATCAACAATTACCGAGTGTAAAGGTCGAAGGTAGCTAAGGTCTATATACACGAAGGTAGAAGCGCTAAGGACTCGTGAACTATGGTTTATAAGTCAAAAGCGAAGAATAAGAGAATACGAAGAATACGAAAGAAAAAAGGAGAGAAGTAGCTTAGCGCATGTAAAGTGCGTCTAAGAGACTTAGCGTATCGTTATACTACTTTTTCGTCCGAAAAAAGCTCGTCCTCGAGCGTTTATCTATTGCTTTATTACTGCTCAAGTGATCGTAGTTATTAACACCGTTCGAATAAGCTTTGATCTATTCGAAGAGCTTCGCGGGAGGGCCGAAGAGCTCTTTGTGTTTTAAGTGGAAGTCACGTACTTTAAAAGGAGCGTATATGAAGTCGGAGGCGAAGTACTAAGTAAAGTCAATATCGCGGTCGAGCTAAGAAGCGCGGTATTTAAGGTGCTTCTTGGTTTAGCGTACCGCTAAAATATTCTTTACTTCGTACTTAAGTTCGCTAGTGATATTAATTAGGTCAGGTTTAGGAATGACTTGCTCGAAAGTAAAGTTATTAAGAGCTTTTCGCAATCGTCCGGAGTAGAAGACTAAGTGAACC